CGAGCGAATTCTTTCATGCTCTAACAGCCAAACGAAATCTGAATTTTTCTTTGAAGTGAGCGAATACAGTGTTTTTAAAGTCTCAGAAAATTTTGGCACAAACTGCCGAAAGTAAGATGCTAGCCCTATAAATTGTCTTAATTGCGTAACCGTTTTTGGGGGTGGCAATTCTGTCAGCGCTTGAATTTTGCGTGGATTAGGGCGAATCTGTCCTTTGCTCACTTCAAACCCCAGATATTCTATCCTAGTTTTAAGAAAGGAACACTTAGTTACATTGAATGAAAACCCAGCCTTGCTCAAAGTTTCTAGTACAATCTCCAATCGATCTAAGGCTTCATCCTTAGTTTCGGCCACAATCAAAACATCATCGATGTAAACGATGGCGTAAGTGTAAGCAAGACTTCCCAATGCTGCAATAATAGCGCACTGAAACACGGACGGAGCGTTTTTTAAACCAAACGGCATAGTCAAAAATTCATATTGACCCTCGGGGGTGACAAAAGCGGTTCGCTCAATTGAATCTGGATGTACCGGTATTTGGTAGAAGCCGCTGGCCATATCGAGACATGAGAAATAACTTGCCCCACGCAGCCTAGCAATCTGATCAGAAATCAAAGGCAAAGGATACTTGTCTGAGACTGTGTTCTCTTTCAAAGCACGGTAATCTACACAAAGACGATCACTGCCATTTTTTTTTTTTTTAACGAGCATCATAGGACTAGCGAAAGGTGAAGAGCTGGGACGAATAATATTAGATTTAAGGAGCTCATCGATTTTAGAACGTACATGCACTTTCTCATCTTCGCTAAGTCTATATGGCCGGCGCTGCACTGTCTTTTGTAGATCTATTAACCTAATTTCCAAGTGCCCTGTTGTTACCCGAGTCTTTGGTATTCCCTCTATAAACCAATCAGAATAACGTTCCAGAATATTTTTCAAGGCCATCTTATCGGAGTTACTCAAGTCGCCATCGGAATCTACAAGGTTTTTATAATTGGCAAAATTTACGACATTCACTCTTTTAGTTTTGTAAATACTAAATTTTTCAGCGTCTATTGCTACACTAAAGCCCTGGCTTAATATTTCGCGACCAATCAAAACATCGTAATTTAGATATTTGTCCATTACAACATGCAATAAAGTTTCTACGCAATACTGTTCAATATTTATATTAGAAAGGATTTGCATTGTACTATAGATAGAGTCGTTACAGATGCCATTTAGTTTCACAATATTGTTTAGTCGCTTTCCTTTAAACTTGTCTGCAACGCTTTCCTTTACCAACGAACATTCAGCTCCTGAGTCGAAGCAAAATGGAATTGACTCACCGGATACATTTATTATTCCCTTGGGCGGGGAAACAGTGCAAATGTCCACACGCTTCTCGAAAATCTTCTCATTTCCGCTGGTCCGGATTTTAGGACATGAATTAGCGTAATGCCCCAGTTCGTTGCACTTAAAACATCGTATAATGCGATCCTTTCACTCCAGTATGCCTGCTCCCGCACAGTCAGAACGCTTTCGGCAAAGCAACATGTACAGGCTTTGCATCTGCTACCGGCCTTGGATTCTGCATGGATTTGATAATGTCCATTAGACTCCGGTTCTGTGCTTCAAGAGCTGCGAGGATCTGGTTTGAATCTTGAACTCTAGGCTCAGCCGATCCCACTTCTGATATCGGGGGCTCGTTTGGTGACGGATTCATTTTTATTTAATTTCCTAAGCACAGCAAGTTCTGCTCGTGTCTATGCCGCAAATCGAACTGACCTCCGAGAACGCAGAGCTCAATTTTATCAATTCCTTCTTTGCTCCTGCCTCTGTTCTCACTCAGTTCGCGACATACGATCAGACCTCACTCAGTAGCAGACACTCAATTTCTGCTACTATGCTTCTTTCCCTTTAACTGCGCATTTACAATCCAAAGTTCCAAAATATGTCCCGCCTAAGCGTCGCCTACTTTTAATGACGTTCTAGGAAATGCACTTAAGCGAACACACACTGACCTACAGAGAACATGTACCAGCTCTCCGACATATATATATTCTTGTCACCAGGAAAGTCGATCTAACCATGCCCGTCTGTCCGACCTTCCGTCCGTCCGTCTGTTCGTCAATTGAATTTTAGAAATTTTTGAACAACTAAATTGAATATAAATGTTCTTAATAATTGTATACCTTATGAAGTTATGCCAAAAAAAAAAAATGAACAAACCGAACAAATTATAATTTTGTAACAATTTTACTTTGAGCAATTATGACAAGAAAAAAGTAAATTGCGTTAAAAACGCGTATTAAAAAATTGGGATAGAAAAGACAAATTTTCCCTTCTAATTTTTTGCACAACTTTTTTTTTAACAATTTATTATTTATCTTTACCGAAATACTTTTTTGGAGTAAATGGCCGATTGCTGGTCTGAAGATAAGGAAGCAAACTTCGAAGTTTATATACTCTTGCAGTTATTACAAAACGACTACATTTCGATTTCTATGCCTATATTACTAAAATGCCTATAAAGTAAAATATAATTACTATATCTCAAAGAAATATTAAAAAAATCGAAAAACAGCAAAATATTTTTTTTTCCATTTATATTTATTTTTAAAATTTTTTTATTTTTCTATTGGAGCCCATAATATATAGACAACTTTTGTGAAAGTTTCAAGCTGACAGCTTTAAATCTGAGGAACTAGTTCAGATTGAGTTAAGTTGTCTAAAATTCGGGTCAATTTTTAGATTTATGAGCGAGTCTTATAAAAAATCTAATATTATTTATCTGATTACTCAAAAAAAATATAATTAATTAAATTCTGGCCAAAAGTAACATTTTTCAATTTAGAAAGCCTATTTACACTAACAAAAGTTTCCAATCAATCACTTAGCAAGTTAGACAGTAAATTGGATTCAAAAAATAAGTTTCGAGAAAAACGCTATTGAACCGAGAACGTCAGGCTCAATGACCTGAAGGGCGCAAGTTCCAGAGCATATATCTCATTAAGCATTTATTGATTTAAAATTTTTTGATTATGATATTTTTACATTCACTGTTTTTTCAGGGGTGTTGTTCAATTTGAATTACTCATTTTAAAGTATTAGAAAAAACGTTCGTTTATGGAAGGAACAATGGCCACTAATCAAAGGACTTTATTCGCAGATTCAAATGCAAAATTGTATAATCAATTAAATGGGTTTGTTCCACAGCATTTTGAGTGTTAATTACACTTGAGGATGGCTTCACAGTTCAAAACCGCAATCAAATTGCATTATTCAATCAGCCCCTTGCTCCCTTGGCGGAAGAGATGGGTGGGAGTGGCTGGAGGGATTTTCTTGCTAATACATTGTCAAATGGTACTGCAATTAAGGCCAGTTTTTCAATCCATTATGATTAACGATTTACATGAGGAGTGCCTTGCACTATACACCTTGCCACTTCGGATAACAGTTGACTGATTATATGTAATGATAATTATGCACAAAGAAACACTGCTGTGGTTAAAAAATTTAAATTAAGTTTTCAATTAATTAGCATCTATTCGCAGAGCACAAAACCCCAGGCAGCAAACATGCCCAGCAAACTTCCGCTTTCGGCATGCGGCCGTTGAATAAGCGCTGCCTGCGGTCATTGGATATGTACGTGGGTACTGGCCCCGGATGCAGTTGTGGTGTGCAGTTTTTGTTTTCGGACCATTTGACGGGACCGTCCACACACACGAAAGAAGGGAGATTGAGCCGGACATATAGCGCAAAACAAAATCGGACGAATGCTAAATTACGTGCAGAGCTTACAAAAACATCTGGATTCGCCCTAACTGATGCCGCATTCTGCTCCTGCCTTTTTCTACACTAATGCTGCTTAATTATTTTCCGTTTGCCTTCGAACTTACATTTACAGTCGGTATAAGTTCAATAAATGGTAAAATTCTTGTTTTTAGCCTTTAAATAAAGCTTCGAACCTTAAAACTTATATTAACATGAAAATAAATAGATAGTCTGCTATTTAAGAAACTTATCTATTAACGATAACTGAAGATACTTCCCAAAATTACGAAGGCCTAGAGGCGTATGGTCAGTATGAGCGCTATATACACAATTAATAAAATAGTAATTTATACATAAATATTAAAAAGAGAAAATCAAAATTACATAATTTGGTATACATAACAAATGGGATTAGGAAAGTTCAAAAATTTATATTTCACTTTCTAATACCATCTACAAGGATATATATGTCATGGCATTTTAAAATATTTTTTTATAGAATATAATAAATCAGAAGTTATATTTATTAAAAAAGTGACAACAATTAAAATGGTGTCCTTGCGACAGTGCTGCCCATCAACAATCGTATACTTTATCTATGTTTTCCACCTTTGTGGTATTTAGTCCGAAAATCAACCATAAATGTTGATGATAGCTGTAACAGCTAAGTCACATCCGACAGCGAGCCAAATTGAGCAGGCGGTGTTGCCAGATAGAGCATTTCTGCGGTAAGGCAGCCCTGCAAGCCCGGCTAATGAATAATTTAAAATATACCTGTATATTTGGGTTTAGCCATTGCACTATATTTATTAATACTTGAAAATTATTTCAGTTGACCCACAAAAATAAGCCCAGAATATAGTTCGCAGGTTGCCAAAGCGGTCTCTAAAGAGCACTTTTACTCATTGACTTAATAGGCATAACCTGCAGTGGACTATACTCTCCTGGCGTGCGTGCTTAGCTTTATTTATATATTTTATATTTTGTTTCTTTTGAATTCCTGGAACTTACTTTCAAAGACAGCCCGATAAAGGCGCCCAGGAAGAACACCACAAAGCTCTCGTGCAGGTACAGAAATTAGGTCCGCGGCATGGAGTGGATCAGCAGGATGCCCAGCCAGATCACGCAGATGATGATGAAAAGGAGCAGCAAGGGAAGGTATTTACATATAATTTAAACAAAACAAAAACAAATGTGACATTGGCAACGATTTCGATTAATCGCTAATCATATTCAGCTGTTCCAAATACAACACTGCTAGACAACGCTACCCAACACTGAAAAAATACCACGATGTTTACAAATTCTTCAAACAAGAAAACACAAAATGGTAGAATTAGAGGGTTATGTCGGTAAATAATGAAACAGACTTTGTCCATGCTGTTGCTAATATTATACCCCATTTAGTGGTTCCCCTACGCCCCACGCCGCAGGCTAAACATTGCCACAGCGTCTACATGCGGGAGCACTTTATCCGCCTGATGGATCCAAACAAACCCAAGGGTCGCACGCTCTTCCTGCTCAACGTTCCGCCCTACGTTACGGAGGACAGCCTGAAGACGGTCTTTGGCCGTGCTGGGATCGTAGAGGCCGTGGAGTTCGCCGCGAAGCCGGGCAAGGAGGAGACCATCAAGTGGTACGAGGGTACCGGCGAACCGTTCTCAAACACACGACCGCCCTTCAAATTCAAGGTGGCCTACATAGTGTTCCAGAAGAGCAGCAGCATAGGCAAGGCCCTGGCCTTGAAGAGCATCGACCTCTTCAACAGCAGCGGCGAGTGCCTCCTCCAAACCGGCATGCAGTTGTGGCACGACGAGTACGAGGGCAACTACCTGCTGGAGGCCCACAAGGCAAAGATACAGGTCAGCAAGTACATGGCCGGATACGACAAGAGGGAGCGGGCTGCCGCGGAGGCAGCCAAGACCGGAGAGGCCGATGCCGACGGTTGGGTCACCGTGGGCAAGGAGGGCCGCAACGCTGGCTTCGAGCAGAAAGCCTCTGTGGTTGAACGCCTGGAACAAAAGGTGGCCAGGGATCACAAGTCTAAGGAACTGAAGAACTTCTACACCTTCCAGATACGCGAGAGCAAGATGCAGAATATTGTGGAGATGCGCAAGAAGTTTGAAGAGGACAAGCGAAAGATCGAGCTGCTCAAGCAATCGCGACGCTTTAAACCGTTTTAGTCAGTTCGCATAGGTTAAGCATGAAATAAAACTTCTTTATGATACAGACCCGAACTTCAAGACCCAGCGGGCCAGACCTCAGCCAAATCCTCATAAATTCGCTGCTGTCATTGACACTTTGCCACGACCAAATCCTGGCCACGACAAAATCCCACACCAATGCTATAACTTATAACCGGCCGCAGTGAGGGGCGCCCATAAAAGCTTATAAAAAGCGAATAACAAGAGAGCCAACTTGGGGATTGGAGCTCGGCTCAACAACCGCTGAGCTTATTGTGTGATAATCACATATGGTTTATGTTAATTTGGGAAATGATAAAAATATTTCGCTTATCAATTTTAATCATAATCGCCGCTGCGCCCGAGCCGCACTCTGAAGCTCACTCGCCCAGTCCACACCGCACGCGATCTCTTATTCCCGATCAGGGGAAGGTATTGCTGGCTCAGCTCAGGGCCGGATTGCCGACGCTATGTCGATACATTTTTTTTGTTACAGTATGAATTTGATTCCAACTTTCAACGACTGCAAAAATATATGTACCAAGATACTGAAAGAGTTTTCGACATCATCCGTGTCGTCCTAGCCAGGACTGCCTGTCCTTCCGTATGATCGACCAGATCTCGAAAACTAAAGGAGATGAGAAAATAGGGATTGAACAAGCAGTTTCCAATGGCGCCTAGGCAGTGCAAGCTTACAAGAAAAATTGCAACGCTCACTTACATATATGCGAAAATTATATAAAAATTTAACATACAAATTCAGTGGCCCTTAAATTTGTTGATGATAAAAAAATGTTTGGTCTGAATCAGGGGAGTCACAAAAATCTCTTCCAAATAAATAAATAAATATTACCAATTTTGTGGCTAAGCAGAGGACAGCAGCACATAACAAAGGGAGTTAATAGATGAAGATCGTAGGGTATGTCGCAAACTAGTCTCAGTTTTAAAGCTATCTAAACGAAATTATTATCGGACGATCATCCCACATAATAATCGTAAAAGAAATGAAGGTTTCTAAACACATACAAACCGAAATATGGTGATTTTTCTAATTTAAGAATTAGGTTTTTAATACTACTTATCATACATCTGTCATGGGAACGATCGAAAAATGTTTCGGAAACTGTACATAGCTCTTTTTTAACATATACTTCGGTTTGCCGAAGCTCACATCCTTTACTGTTTTGTTGTACTTTTAAAAATTGGTTTCATCAAATATTTATTTTCTAATTTTGCAAAACACATGAAGTGCTTTAAATTGGCTGGGAAATATTGCAAGGAATTGCAATGTTATCTTAATATTTCTCTCTATTAGAACGGCTGTTAAAAATCTTTGGTATCGGCAAAGTCCAAAAACATCTACGCCTTTGGTAATTAAATCGATTGCTTCAGATAAGTTTTCCTTATATTCATTGAATTATAAAAACAATTATCAAAACTTATTTATTACCTAACGACTTACCAATTACAATTTTTTTGGTCTTTCACTGTCATTTTTCCTGCTCCAATTAATTTTCCAAAGGCCTCCAAAATAATAATCACATAAAAAAAACATAACAGGCTGTCATTTGTTTTGATTTTTGAATTTGAAATTAATTTAACATTAATTATTTTCCATTTAACCCAACATCTTAGTAATACATAGTGCTGTCAGTATCTGAGTCCGCTCCTGATCTGTGACCAATGTGAAGCGCATAAGTCTTCGAGACGACCCAGACCCTAGGTAACACGAGATGTGGCGGAGACATGGGGAGTGAAATACAAACGAGGTACGCGTCGGATAACGCATGCTGACGATGATCGCCTGGTTCTCGTCGACCATCGGCTATCGGCTATGGTTGTGGCTTTGGCTGTTGTTGTTGGTGGCCTACTGTGGAGCCTGGAGACAGCAACACATTCATAATTTCTTCCGATTCGTATCGTTTAAACATTTTAAATTGATTAAAATGCGATAAATCATAATCGCCAACGACGGCCTGGCCCCAGACACTCTGCAACTCGGGAACCCTCTTGCAGATCCGCTCGATACCGATGCCCGGGACCATGTTCGGGTGATGGAACGATTTATGCGCCTTGAACATAATAAAGTGTTAACGGAACGAGTTATTAAGGTAGTCTGAATGGACCTAAGTTAATAAAGGGCCAAGAACAATTTGCAACGGCCAGTGCTGCAGCGCTGAGATGCAGCGTCTAAGGTTGCAGCTAGGCTTAGATTAGCTGGGGCCCAGTCTCAATCTGGGCGCAGCCGAGCTATACCATGTCCCAGCGATAGACGGACACACAAGATGTCGAGAAATATAACATAAACCGACCACACGTACGTCTCCCATGCCGCACAGCTGGACTCCGGTCGCAGTCCTCTGTCCGCTCGACGAGGAAAGGCTGAAACGCCGTGTCTTGTGAGAAGAACAATCAATAAATTTGAACACGTGAGCGGACGCGAATGTGGACGGCACTCAACAGGAATGGGACGGATCGACCGACCAACTCCCCACAACAACAGCAACGATTCAGATCGATAAGTGATCAATGCGCCGTTTCGACTGATAGTTCAGTATTAATGATCCAAAGGGTGGGGAAATGGACGGTGCGGAATTGCACTTTAAGACCCTTTAAATTTATGCAAACATTGATGTTGGAGGGAAAGTGAATGAGGGATCGTTTAGTTTAATATTATTATAATTATTTAAAAGAATACTCTATTAAAAATGTATTTTTAAATTTTGTAAATATAGCTTCTAATGTTTTGAGCCTTTGGATTTAGAACAAAATTTGAAAACTCTTTTAAAACATTTTTAACAAAAACGTTTTTTTCCATTTAAATGTGAATGTTGGTGTTGTTGATTTTTATAAGCAAACGAAAATGGCTTTTATTATATTTATTTTAATGATGATAAAGCCACTCATCTCAACAATCAAGCTCCCTTTAACAAAAAAAATCGATAACATAAAATAAATACAATATACATACGCTTTTAAATTAAAGGCACAAAAATACAAAGAATGTTTTTGGGCCCATTGCGTTCATTGCGTTTCTCGTCCTCGAGGGTTTTATAATATTATATGTATTACCAAAGACCAATATAATCTCTAAAATTACGTTACGCATCTTAGAGATTATATTGGTCTTTGGTATTACCCTGCTTTTATAGCCATTAAGTTGGTTGATCAACGTTTTAACAAATGTATATGCTGTACTAAAACAAAAAAAAATAGAAAACATGTTTATACCCTTGCAGAGGGTATTATAATGTCAGTCAAAAGTTTGCAACGCGGTGAAGGAGACATTTCCGACCCTATAAAGTATATACATATATTCTTGATCAGCATCACCAGGAGAGTCGATCTAGCCATGTCCGTCTGTCGGTCCGTCGGTTTCTACGCAAACTAGTTCCTCAGTTTTAAAGGTATATGCTTGAAACTTTTTGTCTTTCTATTGCAGGTAGTATATAAGTCGGAACGAGCCGGATCCGGCGACTATATCATATAGTTCCATTAGGAACAATCGAAAACAAAATTCCAAAAAATTATTACTTTGTTGTTTAAAATTTTTTTGTTTGTTCTTTGGGATTTGAAAATATTTAAATGTTAACGAACTACGGTTTTAATTAAATTAAAATCGGACAACAATATCATACAGCTGGCATAGAAACGATGGCAAAATCCAGCGCACAATCGACATATGTAGCTTCATTGTTTTATATGCATAGTAATCGAAATGTAGTCGATTTGTATTAACTGCAAGGGTATATAAACATCGGCTTGCCGAAGTTTGCTTCCTTTCTTGTTTTTATTTACATTTAATTAATAGTAATCGAACAACAATATCATATAGCTGCCATAGAATCGATGTCAAAATTCATCTCAAAATCGACATCGCTTCATTGTTTCTAGTAATATAGGCATATAAATCGAAATGTAGTGGATTTGTAATAACTGAAAGGGTATATAAACGTCGGCTTGCCGAAGTTTTCTTCCTTTGTTGTTCAATATAAACCCAACTTTTAGTTTAGTTTAAACAGAAAAAACGGACCTAGAAAACCTAAAAAAAAATAATTCGGAAACTGCGAACTAAAAAAAAACCAGCTAGTAGCAATCGCCAAAGTTGAACCACGGTGTAGCATCAACATCATCCGTCATTATGGGTTCCCTGCGCGCCGTTGACGGGCCGTAAAGATTGAATCGCCTGGAGCCAGCGATCACCTCACGGTACCGCCTCACTGGAGTCCTGGACATGTGCAACTCCATCAAATCCCAGTCGTTGACGTCCCGGAAAACTGAGCGAATCATGTGCATGCGGCCCAGCAGCTCGGTCTCCCGCAATCCCTCGTACCTCCGGCCGGTGCGGGCCCGAAACGTCTTGTAGACCTCGCTTTGCTGCTTTGTCTCCGTGGCCGTCTGGAGTTCCTTGCGGTAAAGGGCTCGGATTCCCCGGCCCAGGTGGCGGATGTGCTCGAAGTTCCGGACGTTGAGTGCCACTAGGGACACGGCGTCCAAGTTTAGAAGCTTGTGTCCATCAATGTAGTTCTCTCGAAATGTTTGCTTTAAGGAAAGTAAAATTCTTAGAAAGTAAAAGTTATACTCCTCTTCTTTTTAGTAGTGTCAAAATCATAGAACTTGGACAAGCGAGTTAATTCGGAGTAATATAATAAAAACAAGAGAGAACGCTATAGTCGGGTGCCCCGACTATCAGATACCCGTTACTCAGGTAAAGGGAGTGCGAGGGAGATGGAGATAGAAACTTTGATCACGCATAACTTTTTAACGAATGGTCCGATTTGAAAAATTTCTTCTACATTTCGATAGGTATTGATAAACACAATAAAACTGCATTTTTACTTTTCCGAAATATTTAAATTTTTAAAATCGTATATAAGCGATTGTGGGCGTCAGAGGGGGCGTGGCACCATTTTGAAACAAACTTGCGCTGCGTAGGAACTCCTAGAATCTGCATGCAAAATGCCAATCTTCTAGCTTTTATAGTTTCCGAGATCTCAGCGTTCATACGGACAGACAGACAGACAGACAGACGGACAGACAGACGGACAGACGGACATGGCTATATCGACTCGGCTAGTGACCCTGATCAAGAATATATATACTTTATAGGGTCGGAAACGCTTCCTTCTAGCTGTTACATACTTTTGCACGAATACAATATACCCTTTTACTCTACGAGTAACGGGTATAATTAGAGCTTTGTTGGACCATTGTTTTTGCCTTAATTCTTAATAGTCACAGTGACGAACTTAAGTATTGGCACAGCAAGCATGTTGAACTTTAAGCCTGTTTTCATTTATCTAATATGCCGATATTAAAAAAAAACAAACATTTTAGATAGAATTATTCATTTACTGTTGAATTTAAAATTTAATAAAATTGTTCTTCGCTTTGTGCATCTATTAAAAATTTAAATTTCTTTAAGTCGACTCCACTTTTATCGTTTTTTTTCGATTTTTATCCGATCTTTATGTAGATTTTTCAATAAGCATACTTTAAACTGAGGCACGCCATATTAACTTCTTGGTGTTTTTAACTACTATATCTAACAATCGCTTACAGAGACTTTTTAGATAAATTTTTTAATTTACTGGATGACTTCTACGAAATTCTAATTTGTAGTTTATACTGTTGTTATAGAACAAAGATTGGTAAAGCGTTGTGTTAACATCACTAATTTTTACACGATGCATTTTAGTAAGATAAAAAAAAGGTCTGCATCATTTATAAAAGTAATGATCTTTTTATGAGGTTTTGAAATATATTGCTTCTGAAATTGTTGTATCAGTAGTTTAAGTTAATTTTTAAAAAGAAATGGACTGAAAGTTTCGCACAAAACATGTTCATAAAGTGTTTGAAAAATGTCTTAATTTACCTGGAAGTCTTAGAAGATCAATTAAAACCCCACTTACCTCATACTCAGGGTAACCAAAATTGCGCAGCCAGTCGGTCACATCGTTGATACTCCACTTGAAGACTTCGGTGCGGGCCTGGGAATCCACGACGGCGGCGCAGAGATTGAAGAGGGAGTCCGGAGTAGCCTTGAAGGGAAGCGGAACGTCCTCTTTGTCGTACTCCACGTCCGGGAACATGTAGCTCGGATAGCGGAAACTAAACTCTTCCTCATCCTGCGGCGGTTCGCATATGTCCGGACTGTCCATACCACTTACAAAATGTGGCAGTGGAGACGGTATGGATGAGGACGAAGACGAAGACGTTGAGAACGACTCCATTCGAGTGGAAGTATCGTACTGCTACTTGGCTACAATAAATTGAGTTGCCCCACAACGTTTCGGTTGCGGTTTCCCCGCAGGAATAAGTGGCGTTCGTGCCTGTTTACATAGGTTGGTTGCGTTTTTTTGTTTCCCTTTCATTTATGGTATGCCCTATATTTTTCCTGATGAAGTTTATACCTTTTGCAAGCTAAAGCTCCACTTTTATTTGAAAAGTTTCATTGCTTTTGGAAACTATTTGCGGGTCCGTTAATAAAAAAAAGTATATTCCTTGAAATTCGAATTTATGACAGATTTGCAGATAGAAATTACTTGCAATATGTGTAACGAAATGTATGACCCTTTTATTTTGTAGAGGATACAAAGTGTCACTGACTACCATTGTTTTTGCTTTCGTTTCTCGTAGTTGCATTTGCATATTCCTTTTTTTGGGTCAATTTGTTTGGGGGTTTTTTGGCACAAACACATCCCCTGGGGTGGGTATTGGCTGCCGGAAAGTATGCTATTTTAAGACAGTCACGACAAGATTCCTATTAATAACAAAGGTTTCGATTCGCAATTTTCACATTTTTGTCCTGAAAATCGAATTGTTTTTTGTTCTGTTTTTGTGGGTCTTCGAGTGGGAATTGTAGTTAGATTTATGGCTACCGGCAAAGTTAACCACATTATCGACCACCGTACAAGCTGCAGACAGCATGGAGCAGGTGGAGTTCGCAGAGATCGCTCAATTCCACGCCACTTAAGCCCAAATTCCCCGGGCGAGAAAAAGAGATGCCGCATCAGCGTTCCAGTATCTTGCCTCAGACTCCGCCCACCGGAATCGGTCGCTCGCATTGGCCACTCGCCACACGCCATGGCCTCAACGCCAGGGAACCGGAATTCGCTGGGCTGTCCGTGTCTGTGTGGGAGTACGGGAACATATGGAGAAATCGGTAAACAAATCTCGGCAGCGGTCGAGGAAACAATCTCCGCCTGAGCTAATGACACGGCGGCATGCTTGTGTGTAAACAAGCGAACTGTATAGCAAGTATGGTTACAGTGGAATCAAGACTATTGAAATTTCTGTAATAGATTTTCATTTTTTTATACCAGAGCACTTTTTCTCACTTAGAAAATGAGACTTCTGATACCCACTGACTGGTTGTTAGACATGTTAACTACTTGAAAGCACTTTTCAATTATTAGTATAAGGTTAGTATATATTGGGTTGAAAGTGTATCCGACAAACAACTTGACACTAGCTCAAATAAAAAGGTAGAGCTTATCAAGATATCTATAACTTAAAGGATCCATAAACACTTTCCTGCGAATTAAAGTAAAGTCAAATGGAAGGACAACTCTAAAATTAATTCATTTTGTCCCACTGTGAGCACTAGGAACACACAATCTCAGCGAGATTAACCTAACCGCCAGACTATTCCTCTTTGAGTGTGCGATCGGCAATCGATCTCTGGTAGAGCGTGCTCCCTGGCCGGTTCCGATCAGTTCTGAGTGGGATGTCTGGCAAAGCGGTTTAATCGGAGGTGCACAGCCCTACATAAATTTCGCGATCGTTTTTTGATTCCAAGCGACGGTGTTTGGGACATGATAGTGTCCCGCGGTGACTTACCAGATTGCTGACCGGAAAAAACAGTTTCTCACTTGGGTCAAACTGATTTACCCTTACACCGAGCAATGTTACTACTAGAGAGTGCCGACAGCATGGATCAGAGTATGCCCGAGAACCTCAGCACTCACATGTACGGCGAGTGCGAAGTGAACTCAGCTGTTCCCAAGTTTCATGATCCAGTGGAAAGTGACCGTGATCCACAGACCAAAGAGTCCTGTGCCCCAGCTGCGATAGCCAGTTCATTGCCTCCCCCTAACACAAGCACCAAAGTAAAGCTAAGTTTCAGTGTCGATCGACTTCTGGGCTCCGAGTCCAGCGAATCTCACAGGAAGAACCCTTCGTCGTCCTGCTGCGATGGCAATGTATTTTCCTGCTGCCCGTTTCCACACTGCATCAGCCAAGCAAATGCCGAAACACGTAAGTTCGGACATCCTCCGATCGCTGTATCTGCGGCACCCACGTCAATGCACCCATACCCTTATGTGGGACTTGATAAACTATATCCTAGCATTTATATGGATTACAAATCAGTGCTGAGACCGACGCCAATTCGTGCAGAAGAACACGGTAAGATAAAAAAATGTTAATCCTTTTTTTCTGCAAGCGAGGGAAACAGAAAATGCGTGAAAGGAACCCATCATTTATAAACGATTAATACTTCGAAATATCAAATACATAAATCAGACTTTATATAGCAGATGAAACAATTTACCTATGTCAAGTTAAAGTTCTTGTTAGCATCTGTAAGAGAAAGTTAAAATTGATTTATTTTCGAACAAAAAAAGTATGCAAACTTTTCCAAAAAGTATGCCAAACATTAACTAGAATATCGGCTCTTCACAGACTTTTAAACAAGCGTTTGGTCCGAATTTCAAGTCCTCTATTATCTGCTTATAATTACACTTTAAAACTAGAGTCTCCATGATTCCGAAAGATTTATTGGTTAAATTTCAAACCAATAAACATCAAAGATTAGTGCAGTCACAGTCGCCGTAATTCAACAGTAAAATTCAAACTCTTTCCATTTCCCTAACTAAAAAAAATACATTAAGTGATTTGACAAATATCAGAGTCAATCGCTAGAAAAATTTGATTTGGTTTTTTGCGAGTCTTGTGCGCTAAGCGCTCTGTTCTTTATTGTCGGGGCCATAACATTAAACTTGCTACTAAAAGTCCATGTGCATTATTTTCCCACTGTACAATTTACTTTAACACAAAAGAACAAAGCTCATCGTATATTCCTATTTGTCAATCAATCTGCATCCATTTTTTACAATGGACTAGAATTATTAGCAGAGAAATTATAAATAACAAGAAAAGGCAAACTTTGGCAAGCCGAAGTTTAATATCCTTGCAGTTATTACAAAACGACTAAGTATCGATTTCAATGCCTATATTTTTAAAAACAATCAATCTATGTCGAATTTGCGCTGCATTTTGCCATCGTTTCTATGACAGCTATATTATATTGTTGTCCGATTTTTACAAAACTAAAATCGTTATTATGATATAGTAAATAATTACTATATCTCAATGGAATATTTTGATAAATAGAAAAACAGCAAAATAAAAATTTGTTTGCATTTTTGCATTTTTTTATTTCATTTTTCGATTTTGAACTATATGATATAGATGTCCGATTTTAATTTAATTAAGACCGTAATTCCATAGTATTTAAATGTTACCAACTCCCAAAGAACAACAAAAATTAAAAACAACAAAATTATACTCTTTTACATTTTTTTCGGTTGTTCCTATGGGTGCTATGTGATATAGTATAGCTGCCCGATCAGACTCGTTCCGTCATATATACTACCTGTAATAGAAAGACAACTTTTGGGGAAATGTAAAGAAGATAGCTTTAAAACTGAGGGACTAGTTTGCGGACGGACCGATAGATGGACGGACGGACAGACATACGGATGGACAGGCGGGCATAGTTAGATCGATTCTCCTGGTGATGCTGATCAAGAAAATATATTCTTTATAGGGTCGGAAATGTCTTCTTCACAGCGTTTCACACTTTCGACTTAAATAATAATACCTTGGTAATTGTAGAAAAATAAGATCGAAAGTTAGCTTCGGCAAGTCGAAATTTGGTTTCGGAATTAATTTGAAAGATGATTTGCGGGATTATACTTTGTATAACCTTCAGGTAACTATGATTTATATAAGAGATTTTGACTAAACTTAAGGGATGGCTTTAAATGGTATAGAACCAACAGATTAGACAAAAACAAAGGCATGTGCAACCAAATTTCTTTCACAGAACATGATTGCGAATGATTCAGATATAAAGAAGGACATGGCTCTATCGACTCGCCTAGTGATGCTGATTAAATATATATATATATTTATAGTGTCCAATGGCACCTTCACTTCATTATAAACTTCTGATCAAAATTATAATATCGTATGTAACGGTATAGCAAGAAAGGGCAATGAGAAAACTTAACAAATGGGAAATACCTATGCCTCAATAAATTTTAAATTTATATTGGAATTATTAGTTCATCTGTATCCATATTGTGCAACATTCCTGCGGCCAACTGTTCCCTGCTTTTCTGACTTGACGAAAACAATTCGTTTGTTGAAATCGACAACCAAATAGTCAAAAATGTTCGGGTATTTACGTTACTTCCTGCTGTTTTTGTATATATGGGGACGACGACTTCTCATAGACTGCAGGCTGGAAGCGCACTTTGATCTTGTTTATATGAAAATAGTGAGAAACATAATCTGTAAATGTTTCGGTTTTCTAATAGAAATGGTTCATTGTTTTACAAGCTGCTTTCGATTTTATACATCTCGTTTGCGTAGTCTTTTCTCATTCAGTTTTATACACAACTATACTTATCAAGTGGCTGCTAACAAGGTGAGGACTATTAATGATTGCAGAGAAAAGAAAAGTCAAAATTTCGTTTTAAAAGTTAGGCTCCTAAGGAGATTTTTTATACGTTTTTAAAGTGGAATGTGCCAAATTACAGTTTCTTGCCAAAGTGTATACAAAATTAGCACACAACTTAAATAAATTAGACATCCCACAACCAAAAAACATTTATGAAAATGATAATCAATGCTAAACAGTTTTTAAACACATTGGCAGAGGTAAAATTGAAGTGGCAATTTGTAAGGAGAATTAATTTGACGATCCCTCAATCAACAATGGTCTGTTAAAAGCAACAAGGTTTCATCAATCCTGTGGCCACCTAAAATAAATTAAATTCGAAAGACCAAAGCTGAAAATTAACAACAATTTATGAACAAATTAGGAATCAGTCTTTAAAAATAAACTTCAAAATCGCCGAAACGTCGAAAACGTTTGAGTTTGTTTATTTGCTTGAGCAATTGGCCCGTCATTCATGGGCAGATACAGATAGCTATTCATCTAATTGCCTTCTATAATGAATTGTTCCGTTGGCGAAGGGATTGGGAAAGGAAAGGGGACTCGGGTAAAGATGGCAAGGTGGAGAGACCTCTATCCTGTAAAAAGCTGTGGGCCTCTGATAGATTGGGCCCCGCGGGTCCAACTACTGGGACATAACCGCTCAGGCTGGGCTGCCGTTTTGGCTAATGAGAAGGAATGACTGCCTAATGGACTGAACGAGTAAATACCTGAATGACTGCATGGGTGAGGGTTAAGCTATGCGGTGTTTTTGGGGGCCAAGCCAAAGGCTAAGTATTTACACAGCCACCCACTGTGGTGGCCTTTCCAGGAGGAGGCTACTCTGCGGCTGCCTGCCGAGTCCAACCTGCCGGCCTCTGCAGAATTATTTCGTGATGGATTGATTGCATCGCATCGCACATCATAAAATCAGGGGCCCAGCCAGATCTCTTCGACTCTCGTATCGACTATTTGTTGCTGTTTGCCTGTCCCGCTTGGTGATGAGTAGTTTGTTGGTGCTTTTTTGGTTGGGATCGATCGAGCGATCAATCGATCGATTGATGAAACAGACTATTGTCTGATATGGAAATTCTGTTTAAACAATAATCCGGCGCCGTGTGTCTAATTAATTAACAATTTATATGTTAATCCAACTGTTAGGTGCACTTTCAATCGCTCACAGATCCCTGATTAATGATCACCATAAGACGGTGTATTTTGGAACTTTGAAGATGTTTCGAAGTTCCCAACAGCAGGGGAGGCCGCTTTTATCAATAATAATAATTACAACGCGCTGGGTCCGAATTAACGGAACGGTTTCTGATACTGAGACGATAAGTTGGGGATCGCTTCTAGGAAAAGCCAGTTTTAAGCGATAAACAAGTTTTAATTAAACTATATAATTAGTATAGCGATAGAGAGCGAAAAATGATAAAATTTGTAATGCATTAATGCAGACTTCTAGTATAAAATATGCACTCACTAAAGAAAATCCCTAGATTTTAGATTGGGGTGACTTTTTAATACATTTTAATATCATATAACGTAAAACTGGATAAAAACAGAATCGGATTCTATTACGTTTTATGGCCAAAGGAAAATTATTCAATTAAATACTTTTTATCGAAAATATTTCGATTTCTTGCGTATATATTTAAAAACAATGAAGTTATGGTTCAATTTGTTTGATCGTTCTTATTGCATATGTATATATATATAGTCAAAATGTTGTATATAATTATAAATTATAACTATATCTCTGGTCCCATTTGAATATTTTAAAAAACAATGGAGTCAATTCCTTTTCATAATTCTTCCTTATGGCGGTTATATTATTGCTGAAAAATTACATGTGAAAAAACAACGAATTTATAATTTGTATTATCAATTAATTTTCTGATTGTCCTATGACAGTTATCCGAAGGGCTTGCTCATTAAATAGAAAAAAGGCTATTGGACGGACAGAAAGTCAGATCTTCAAAAAGACCGACAGACACAGCTAGATCGACATGCCTAGTGATAAATATATATATATATATGTAAATATATATTATGCATATATATATATTTTATTAGGTCTGAAATGTATAAAAGAACGGTCCTGACGAGTCAAAAACTTAATATTAAATTACGGAAACGCTTGGCTCTTTTGTTTAGCGTCTACAACTTTATTTTGCTTCCCCCAAAGATCATTCGCAGTTTACCCCAAAATAAGACATACCAAGAAATATTCACCAAGTCGTAAATATGGAATATCCCAGCAACCCGTGCAAATAAATCGATTCAAACTTAAACACAGCTGCAAAATTTACGATTCACGATACTGCAGCGCGCCTTGCATTGGCTTTCGAGTGATTTAAGATAGCACATCGAAATTATCACAACTCATTAAGATATTTACCGTGCCGCGGAATTGAGGTTCCCGGTATTTATAAATGAATCTGAAAGTCGGCAATTAACGAGCTCGCGCTGTGAGGGGACCACAGTGCCTCCGCCCAACATGAAGGTGTTGAAAATCGTTGAAAACTCATTATAACAAACCCCCGATGGTTGACACAAACCAAATGCCAAAAAGGCCAATTAATGCGTTATTAGCCTCCGCAGATGTACAAAAACCAATAGCGTTGAAGATACAATTGTATCTACAAGTGCAGGAGCGCATTTCCGTTGCAATGTAAATAGACACGAACGCGTAGTGTTTTCCTTAAGTAAATAAAACGATCCCCACGAAAACAATTAGGCGCATGCCGGTAGCACCCAAACAAAACAAATTGGAACCGTTTAGAAAAAGGCAATACAAAATTCATAAGCTAATTTAGTTCTGCCAAAAAGCAAAAATTCTACATTTGACAAGCTGAAAACAGTGCTGCCTAAAATTAGAGATTAGTGTTCAGGGACTCAAATAACAATACAATAAATTTCAAATATTCAATTTGAACATTACAAATTTCAGGTCATATTCGCATTAAGCAATCATGAATAATAATTTGTAATTACAAAATGAGGTCATTTTGCTAAAAAAAACCAGTTTTACAAAATTGTTTAAGCTCGGTTCGATCTTTTAACCCTTTAACCAATTTTGGAGAGAAGACGGCTTCCTTTTACAAAGAGTGCCTCCTATTTTAAGTTTGAAGAAGCTGTTTCAAGCTAAATAAATTTGTATCACAATATAAATTATTATATTTTCATGTGAGCAAATACCAAATGTTGTTTGTAAGGTGTCTTTGTATTTATTAAGTTATTAAGTCGGAACGATCCAGAATTTACATACTTTATGGGGTCGAAAATATCTCCTTCACTGCGAGCAAACATTTGACTGAAATCATAAATACTTATAAAAAACCAGAAGCTACGCTTCAATAAAGCATGGGTTCCATTCGTAGATATAGAATATTCTATTAATTTTTCAATCGTTTCTACACGGAAATAAAATTTCTTGGTTAAATTTATCAATTACACAGATAATCAGTAAATGTTACGTTTTACATTACATAATGTAAGATACAACATTTATCTTACAGTGCGGTCTACACGGAGGAAATTCCTCCTTAATATCTTTTTCTCTGTTCGTGTAAAGGTATACGATAAATAGATATTTAAAAAACATTTAAAAAAGGAATGCACTGGTATTCGACCTCAGCCTCGTATGCCCCATGTCGTGTTCGATTACCCCAAATAATTTTCGTTCTCAACAGATATTTGTTTTTGTTTAGAATCCCGCTTGGGGTAAACAATTTTTTCCGCCCCTGGCCACAAAATGCTACAATGATATTTTCAAATGAAGTGAAAATTTTATTATAAACAAACCCATTTAAATATTTTCAACGTGAGTTTTATTAATCAAAATAATTTACTCAAGCAACGAAAAATTTGTGAGTTTAATATTTTGGTTGCTAAAATAATTTTGTTTTGAGACCGGGATAAATGTATTATTTCCTCCGGATACATTCTACAGCATGTGGGGGAGGATGTTGCCCAAAAGTTATGGTGGTGTTCTTATAAAAATAAATAATCGAATGATTGTGTAAAAAACACAGGCGGAACTGGGAGAATAAACAATTATGGTTTTAACGAAATAAGAGTTATCGCATGTAAGGAAAGCAAAGACCTCTCTCAATTGACTGACACACTATTCTATTTCCAATTCTACCGCCGAGCAGCCGCACCCACTTATCCAACGCTGGCCACAAACGCGCTCCTCCGCTTCCATCATCATCAGAAACAGCAGCATCAACAGCACCATCCAAAACACCTCCATCAGCAGCACAAGCCCCCGCAACATAACTCGACGACAGCTTCGGCACTGCTGGCGCCTCTTCACAGCCTCACGACCTTGCAGTTGACGCAGCAACAGCGGTTTCTGGGCAAGACGCAGCAGCAGCTACTGGACATTACTCCCACGTCGCCCGCGCCAGCCACATTGCAGAATGGCGGTTACCCACAACAGGGCAGCAGCTCCAATCTAAGTAACACCGGAAGCAGCAACAGTGGGAAGCGCAAGCGCTCCTGGTCCCGGGCCGTCTTCACAAATCTTCAGCGCAAGGGGCTCGAGATTCAGTTCCAGCAGCAGAAGTATATCACTAAGCCAGATCGCCGGAAGCTGGCGGCACGACTGAACCTCACAGACGCTCAGGTGAGTCGGAAATTCAACCATTTTATCAAGGTTGAACTTTAACCTTTCCAAAATGGCTAGCCGGCATTTTGCCGTTTTCTATTCGCAAACTTTGAGGAACAACATTTTGTCAACATTATTTTTCACTTTTTATACCCGTTACTCGTAGAGTAAAAGGGTATATTGTATTCGTGCAAAAGAATGTAACAGGTAGAAGGAAGCGTTTCCGACCCTATAAAGTATATATATTCTTGATCAGGATCACTAGCCGAGTCGATTTAGCCATGTCCGTCTGTCCGTCTGTCTGTCTGTCTGTCTGTCTGTCCGTATGAACGCTGAGATCTCGGAAACTATAAAAGCTAGAAGATTGGCATTTTGAATGTAGATTTTAGAAGTTCCTACGCAGCGCAAGTTTGTTTCAAAATGGTGCCACGCCCCCTTTAACGCCCACAATCGCTTATATACGATTTTAAAAATTTAAATATTTCGGAAAAGTAAAAATGCAGTTTTATTGTGTTTATCAATACCTATCGAAATGTAGAAGAAATTTTTCAAATCGGACCATTCGTTAAAAAGTTATGCGTGATCAAAGTTTCTATCTCCATCTCCCTCGCACTCCCTTTAGCTGAGTAACGGGTATCTGATAGTCGGGGCACCCGACTATAGCGTTCTCTCTTGTTTTATTTTTGTTCTTAAACTTAAATTTTTTGAATTATTACAAAAAAAATGTTTGCTTTTAAATTCCTGTGCTTTTTGAAAAGCTCTTTTATTGGCAAAGGACTTCTATTAAGTAATGGATTTTACAAACGCCAATATTTTATGGACTGTCGATGTCAATTTCTTCCCGGTGAAGAAAAAGTGATACAGTTCTAAAAGTGATACAGTTCTCGAAGCATATTCTCAAGATTCTGTAGAGTTATTCTTTCCGTTGATTTGTAAATCATTAAAGATTGTTTCCAAACTTTTAATGATTTGATTGTTAATTCCTGTGATTTGAGTTACTGCTTTCCACAACTCTACTTAAAGTGCTCCCATTGCTTAAGTTTCGACCTTTATTCCAACTTCTTTGAAAAATGCATCCTGTATTCGCTTATCTCTGTTGCTTTCCTTATTCTTCTTTTTTTATTTATACGCTAGTTTTGACAAGAACTCTACACGACTTTTCCTTGCACGTTATAACATTCAAGATTATACAATTTGTTTAGTTACCTACACATACCAGCTTAATGTTGCGTTTATTTGTGCATTTTGTATACGTGGGTCTTTATGTTGGGAGCAGACCTAGGCTCTCAGCTAAAAAAGAGTAATTTTCAATCTTTTTAAAAAAATTAATTGTCAGTAAAAGAATTAGAAAATAGTATAAATCATAACTGGTCGTATCAAATAGCTCCGTTTCTTAACATATATATTATAGTATAGTATATTACTAGATATTTACATTTCTAACGATTTTGGAATTACGGTTGATTATACAATGAATTACTTTTTTACGTCACTTCAAAAATTACATGGCCTCTAGACCCAAATACCGCCTTAAAGACTACCGGTTGTAGCACCCAAAACTTAAGTACTACGCATTACATTTTAAGAATTTTACAATGGACATCATTTAAGAAAACAACGGCCTTAACATTGGGTGGTTGTCAAGAATCAAAAGTGTCAAAAGTGGGAAACAAACCGTTATAAATAACAGATTTTTTTGTGACAGATTTTATACAAACGAATTTTCAACGAATGCAAAACAGCCTTTTTCTCTACGAGTAGCTGGAATAAAAATACTCTAAGAAGGATAAATCATCAAATTTGCAGTCTTAAAAATTTATATTATCATTACTTATATTCAAAGATGAATTTTTAAATGTTCAAACTGTAATTTATAATATATTTTTTATAAACACACCCCCTAGGTCAAGGTGTGGTTCCAAAACCGTCGAATGAAGTGGCGGCACACGCGCGAAAATCTAAAGAGCGGCCAGGAGAAACAACCCACTGAGGTACCGGGAGGCGGAAGTGGCATTAAGGCTTCGACGATATCGGGCGGAAGTACTCCCCATGAGACTCTCGATTACAGTTCCGATAGCTGTTCTAGCGTGGATTTAAGCGAGCAGGCCGACGACGATGACAACATCGAAATTAATGTGGTCGAGTAGACTTTTCTCCATACAAATAGGTATCTACACCACTGTCGAATTCGGCTTACACATGTAAAATTCCTTGCAGATGTATTTATTTCAATGGTTACGAGCAGTAATGTAGATATGTACTGGTAAAAATACATTTTAGTTATGTAACATAATATATTTATTTTATTATTAAATTATATTTCTTTATTATAATAAATTGTGAATTTATACTTTACGAACTAATCGGGAGTTTTTTATTTAAATATTTACCTATTTAATTTAGCTCAATAGTTATTTTATATGTATCCGCGATCTGTTTTCTTTATTTTTGCAACAAAACCCTTCACAATTTCAGATAGTAAACAATATTAATACGCAATGCCACTTTTATGCGCAAAGCGGCAACAACAAAATTTAATTAGGGGAATACCGCTGCGATCAGCAGAATATGAAACTCGGCGACAACGGGGAGACCTTCTCTAATCAAGACAATGATAAAAGACGATACGACTAGAATGGGCAAAATATAAACCAAGAGAGTCAGTTGGTCAAGCGCAGGGGTGAGGTAACCCAATACGTAAGATCAGAGGGATAAAACGTTATGGACGGAAGCACAGCAGATAGAGAGCACTAATTAGACAAACAGTGAGAGTAAGTTTTTGGTGCACGACATTGAAATACCATATACCCACACTCTGGGTTTTTTGTTTGTCGATTTATTCAGAGAAGTTCGAAAACTCTTCCAAAAAAGTTGGTTGCTCACTTTAAATGTTTTGGCAAGTACAGTTAAAGATTTACATAATTAAAGTTGTGTCTTTTTAACTTATGAAATGGATAAATGCAATTGGTCGAAATACTTCTTATACAAGATATATTTATTGTATGTATCCCATTCCTTTATATAAAATATGCAGTTAAAACAGAAATAATATTAAAAAAAAATGTGCAATGTGGCTAGTCTTAAATTAAATATTTAAAATAAATATTATATATAGTATATTGAATTTTGGAATTCCACTTTTTCTACTTGCATTAAGAATAAAGTGGATCAAAGAAAAAAATTAAATTTATTACTTAATGAATTTTAAGTTTTTAATATTACTTTCCGGTTAAATAAATATTTCTAAGGGCATTTAGTCATCGGTCTTCAATTTGCGCGCAGTTAAAGTTTGCTTCAGATACATTCGCTCACGTTCAGTTGCTTTCTTAAAAGCGCAGCGCGCGGTTGAGTTTCAGTATCCAATTGGTCGGTCGATTGGTTGTGGTATTGAGATAGAATTCTGTGCGTATAATTTCAGGCGTCGCTATCATTATGGGTAACATGCAAGCCCGACCGTTTGAGAACCGAAATGTGCCGAATCGGAGAAGCAGTGAGTGATAGAAGCGTGTTCCCTTAAATCATAATGCCTATTTCGTAACCGTTTTAAAGGCATTTTGTGGAACTTTCGGTACTCGAGCACTGTGCATCGTCGCGAAGATTTGTCCGTGATGGTTCACAACTCCAGGATGAGCATTGTTGAATGGCTGGATCTCTTAGAGCTGCAGCAGTACGAAGGTTTGACTGGTGAGCAGATTCCAACTGAGACCTAATATCATGCTTGCTAGGCAATCTTCAGGAGTTCAGCATCGTGGACGACGTGGTGGACATTACAGATAAGGAGCTAAAGCAATGTGGAGTGCGCGGTGCCCATCGCCAAATTATGGTCAATAGTCTGCTGGGAGTCCGTGCAAAGCGACGCCAGTCTATGAATTTGGAAGGTAGGCCAATGGCAGAGATATCTGAAATTTAATCCCATCAAAGAGTTATCGCAATTCTAGCAGTAAGCAGTGTCCCTCAAGTAGTTCGTCGGCGAAAGAACTCCTGCCCGTTGGTTAAACTGGGTGAGAGTTCTGCGGATATGGCGGGATGCCGCGATAGCGGTCCAGGCGTAATTACCACCAAAAGCGGAAAGATTCTTAAGCAACTCACCTTCGATGAAACTTCCACAATGTAAGTGATTTCTTCATTTTGACACATTTATTCGTACAAAAATACCTCTCGGTGAAAGCAATTCAGTTGGCCGAAATGTACTCCCTTTCTCGTGTTTAAAAATTAAAAGTTTTGTCTGAAAGAATCGTTCTTAACGGGTAATTATACCTTGCCAAAGCTTTTATAGTTTTGGTCTGTTATGTCGATTTTCCGAGTACATTTTCATTCGTTCCTGTGGCAGCTATAAGGTATAGTCATCCGATTTTTATAAAATGGAATTCGTAGTTCTGGAACTGTAAAGATCACAATATCTCGAAAAATATCCAAACGTGTTAAAAAACAACTAACTATAATTTATTTTTACTTATTTTCCGGCTGTTCTTATGGGAGCTATATGAAAAGTCAATCCAGCTCATTCCGACATATCTAATAGTTTTAAAAATTAAAACTTCAATATTTCTAAGAACTTATGCTTACAGAAACACAGTTTTTAATTTAAACAAGAGAGAACGCTATAGTGGAGTGCCTCGACTATTAGATACCGTTACTCAGCTAAACAACTTAATATAAATATGCCTTCTTGTATGTTTTTGCGCCATCTACCCCAAGACATTGGTACCAAGGGCCATGAAAGGCGGAAATGTAGGCGCTAGCCAGGCTTAAGCGTTTAATGGGCTTTTGGGCGTTAGAGTGGGCGTATCAAACTTTTATTAGGCCAATCGATAGGTATAGACGAAACAAATACATATCAATTACAATTTTCATAATAGCATCAAAACTGTGGCCACAGCTTGTGGCCGTCAGAGGGGGCGTGGCACCATTTTGAAACAAACTTGCGCTGCGTAGGAACTCCTAAAATCTACATGCAAAATGCCAATCTTCTAGCTTTTATAATTTCCGAGATCTCAGCGTTCATACGGACAGACAGACGGACAGACGGACATGGCTAGATCGACTCGGCTAGTGATCCTGAACAAGAATATATATACTTTATAGGGTTGGAAACGCTTCCTTCTACCTGTTACATACTTTTGCACGAATTCAATATACCCTTTTACTCTTCGAGTAACGGGTATAAATAGGACGACTATTTCAAAAAGCTGCCATAGGAAAGATCCGAAAATGAATAGGAAAATAATATACATAAAGTATACGCATACTGCTCGAGTTAAAGATATTTCTAACGATCTAAAAAATACATTTTTATTTTATCATATGGCTAAAATAGGAATGATCGAAATGTTTCGTCTTGGTTTTAATTCATATACGCATAAAAACAATATAAAGTCGTTTTATGGATTGTTATATTTTGATTATTGCTGCAACGGTTTAACATCTTCGATTTGTCCCATTTTGCTTTCTTTCTTTATAAACAATGTTTTTAAATTTGTTGGCTTTGATGGTGCTGCTCCTGTGCTGTGCATTTACAACCTCGGTTTGTTCTTAGCTTTTAAAACAACAAAATCAAATAAATTTTGAAACACAATAAAAGTTTTGGGGTGAACTCATTGTTTAGGTCATATTACCTAGTTTATAGTAGATGTATGAGGAACAGTCTATTTGTTTTATTTAGTATTTTGATTACCTTTTTTTTAACCCATGTTTTACAATCCATCGGATACACCCGTTGGAATAATTATCTAAAACTCTTTGTTTTTCAAAACTCTGAGTCTGTTAAATCAAATGGCACAAACAAAAGCTAACTACTACTGTTTATGAAGTAGACTTTACAAAAGTCTTAGAGTTCTTCTTCAAATTATCAGTCAGCCTTGCTCCGGTTTATATAACTGTTGAGCATATATTTTGTTGGCTGAATCAAATATTTAATCGCTAAATTCAAAATATCAAAATAAATATTTATGAACAATCCGCTTTTTAAGAAGTGTCAACAAAAAGTTAATGAACTAGGGACTAATCTATTCTATACGTTTTAAAATGCGATGACAGCTTTGCTTGTTCTCATTATACACCGGAGCCTCTTTGTTTGTTTTTTAAAGTAAAACGAAGAGAATTTTCAACACTAAAAACCGGAGTGACTGGATGGTTGTTACTCAGTGGAATTGTCTTTCTAGCGTTCATACCATACCTGAAGTTTTTTAAAAACTTGTCCAACTAGAGATCTGTTTATATCAGCTAATATAACTAAACATACTTTTAGTTTCCAACATTACACTCAAATATTTTTTTTGTATATTTCTCTACTGTTATTAAAGAGTTCGGATCGTTTATCCATGTATTAAAGTCTACCTTTGCGACCCTCGTCGGTTTATCAGGAGCATTATTTGGCACAGTTGTTATTAACATCTAACAATTTATTTCATTTATTTTCTTATTTGTTCATATACCTTTCTCTGTCACTAAAATGCAAACTTGTGACCGAAATTATTAGGGTATAAAAACTACTTTTTGGCTATATTTGCTTTTGACGCCCCACAGTGCGGTGATCGAAAACAAAGTTTTATTGAAGAAAATAAAATGATTTAGTCTTCAATCTATTGCAGGTCTGTTCAGACAGGGCAACATCCTTGACGTGGTATATATTCTTGAAAGATTATGATTGTGTAGCCATACATTGACTAGTTTAAACTATTATTTCCTTCACATAATTCACGATATTCTGCGGGTGATGCCAGCATACAAAGTGCAATGAAAACTCTCGTTTCCAAAAGAATGACGGTCTTAAATACATAAACATCTTTACTATAAAATGCTTTTTGGACCATTTTAAATAATTGGGTTAAGAACTCAGAGTTGTTTGTTAATTAAATTCTCCAAACAACAAATTCAAAAACTGGACCAATCTTTTCAGTTGAAATTGGTCTGAAATTTACATCAATGTACATATGCATATGTACATTTCAACCGATCGACTTATACTTCATTCTTTGAACTGCAAGGGCATATAAACTTCGGTTCGCTACTTTTCTGATTTTTTTTTAAATTTTTAGCAGTTACATTACAGTTAAGAAATTAAAATTCGCACTGTTAAAAATATTTGAGTTAATCTCACCAAACATTTCGGGGCAGTCAGTCATCGTTCTCCTTCTTGTCGACAACATATGTTTTAATAACATTCATTCTACGCAAACTCCAAGAATTACCCAAAAGACTTGCAAGTTTTAAAACAAAACCCAAAACAAACTGCGCGGAGTAGCGTAGCGAACTGAGAACAGTGAACAACCCCTAAAAGTACACCGCACTAGAGGCCATTGCGAGGACTTTTTAGAACAGATTTGAGCGGCAAAGGATTCAGACTACAGCAAAGCGATAAGCCAACATATTTCACTTCTGTTTAAAGTTCACTTCTTATATTATATTATATCTTTAAATGGAGGCACTTGATCACAAATTGATTGTTTAGTTCCCCAATAATGATCAAATTATGAAATTAGGGTGTGTCCCATCCTAAATTTTCCTTTGAAAAATGGGCGTATCAGGTGAGTGATAACAAATGCGGACAGGTTTTCAAAAAAAAACCGATGGACTTTCTTTGAATTAAATTGTTATTAAGTTTCTTTAATAACTTGGGCGTATTTTATTCTCTTACACTATTATTGTGTTTTATATTTTTTGTACTTGAACTTCACACATACAGTCGTTCATATACCAAGGACCAAATCCTATGGGAGCAAACTACCCTCAAGCCGCTCGGGGGAATGGCCTTTGTTACCATAAAATTACCCAAAATAAGGGAATTTTTCTCTCACTCCCCATCTCTTCCGACAGATACGAGGAACTGAGACCGCGGTCTAAGTGCAACAGTCCCCACTGGACAATCCAAGACGGCAAGATGGAGGGCTATGGTAGCAGCAACGCTTCCACGCCGTCGACCACCGCCCAGCCCAATCCCGGCGAGCAACAGGAGGCCATCGCCCTCAAGAAGGCGCTCGAGTGGGAACTAAGCCTGGACGCCCGCGAGCTGCGCTCCCACGCCTGGTACCACGGGGCCCTGCCCCGCCAGCGAGCCGAGGACATCGTGCAGCGCGAGGGCGACTTCCTAGTCCGCGACTGCGCCTCCCAGCCGGACAACTACGTGCTCAGCTGTCGGAGTAAGGCAGTCGTTCTGCACTTCGTGCTTAACAAGGTGGGTTTTGAAATGACCAAGGTTTGCCGAGTGCTCATTTTTGAACGGACAGAAAAAGATTTCTTTTAAGCCGTTCGAAAAATCTTTCAACTACCTGGTAAATTCATTCGTTGAGTGCATTTCAGTTGGATCGCCATTTCTAAAATGCTTTATCTTTGAATGTTAAATGGATGTTAATAGTAGTTCCCGAAGATCCAACTTTTATAGAGACAGAAATAACATAACATAATCGAACCTGCTGTTGCTGCTGATCAATAACAATTATTATTTGTATGCCAAATTAAGCGTTCTTTGCTTGAAAAGTTATACCCGAACTCTTGTACTCTACTGCACCGGACTGGTATAAAAGAGCATGTAATTTCTTTGTATAAAACTCCTCCGTGGAAAGATCTAACGCTGCGTTATCCATCCCTGAAGAGAAACTCCGACAGAGATTAAAATAGATTGGAGAACAAGGAAGAAAATAAATACCTTGGGCCGGCAAAAAACCCATCATAATTTCCTTGTTTCAGCAGTTCATATTTTTCATTTGATTGAAGCTGTGTAATGTTAAGTGGATAAATAATTCTTGTATGTTTACTCAAATTAAAAAGAAAATATATTTTGCTTAACTGCGAGTCCTTAAAATAGAAAAGCGGCACTGACCTTTAAAATAAATTAAATTTAATTAACAATTTATTTTTCTTTTCGTTTTAGCTGGTGCTTCAACCGGAGACAGTTTACGAACGCGTACAGTTTCAGTTCGAAGAGGATGCCTTTGACACCGTGCCCGACTTAATAACTTTTTACGTGGGATCCGGCAAGCCCATCTCCTCGGCGTCGGGAGCACTCATTCAATTTCCCTGCAATCGCACCTATCCACTCTCCTTCTATGGTCACAAGATCGTGGGCAACCAGCTTCACACCCAGATGCTGGCTGGTCTCAGAGGTCTGAGTCCGCTTAACTCCCCGATGGGCAACAACGGGGCAATGGGAGCCGCCGTGGCGGGGGCCTTTCGCTTCGATCCCCAGGAGCAACAGGATTCTCCGGTGGCTGGCTCTCCGGCCAGCCCGCACTGCTCACCTCCACGGGCACGACGAGAGGTTCCTCCACCGCCGCGTGTTCCTTGCAAGAAGCAGCAGCGCTCCCAGAGCCTCACGCCAGCCCAGGCAATGCTGGTCAGCAACATCAACAAGCTTCAGGAGCAGCAGCTGCAGATGCAGGAGCTTGAAACGGGAAATGGCAACGGGATGGTTCGCTTCCAGACGATCGCCAGGTGCAACCCTACAAGTGAGCACCACCTAGAGAGCAAGTTCACCACCCACTCACTGCCCAGAGCCAACACTTCTGCGGCGCAGGCGATGCGGCAGCAGGCGGTGGCCCGGATCTCGAGCCTGGCGAGGAACTGCAGCCTGGACTCGCCGGCCGACTCCAGACCGCCCAGTCCCCCGCCCAAGCCGCGCAAGGAACCCATGGCAGCGGTTCTCGCCTACCAGGCCAGTGGATCCGACTCGGGCAACGGCTCCGGTGACTCTGCTCTCGGGGATGCCTGCGAAGCTAGCATTCAGCGGGGTGTAATAATCAAGAACCCCCGATTCATGACCTCCTCAGCCTCCAACGGGACGCTGAAGAGTTTCACAGAATTTGACGCCCTTGCCGCCGAAGAGGAACTCTTCACCATGGCCATAGAAGAAGTGAGAACGGTAAGTAATTACGCGAATCCACTTTGGCATAAGCAACCCTTTTTTTGGTTTTCCGTTTACTTATCTGTAAGGTTAGATTGGGTGAACCAAGTCGTAAAACAATTTCTAAATACTTAAGCCTTTTCTAGCAGAATAAGTCACATATCCTCTGGGTATTAAGTCAAAGTTAAGTCACAAGGATACATAAAAAACTAACACCCTTCGCTATACCAAGAAACCTAATAGTTGAAGCGTAAATGTTTATTTTTGCCGAAATTAAATTAAATCGTGCAGTTTAGCCAACATAAAGGATTGCATTTATAAAACACCACTTTTAAGTTAAATGGGCTCGAGATTTATAAAAATAATTTAATTGCATAGACAGTAAAAAGTTTTTTATTCTTGCCCTTTAAAGTTAATTAAGTTTTAAATTTTATATTGTCCAACTTAAATGTAAGTAAAAAACGAAAAGGTGCATCGCCCCTAAAGAACAAGAAATGGTCGAGTTATCCCCATGTGAGAGCTTTGCAATAAAATAAAAAAAATAAGCCAGATTTAAATTAATATTAAAATCTTAGTTTTTAAGGCATTGTGCCACATTCTTCACTACATATATATTAACAAAAATTGTTTTCCCTTTTAATTTAGGCAAGCAAATTTGACTTTGAAAACTTCGTCACTCTGCTATTGCCATCTGTGGATAATAAGCCACTGGACGGCGATGCCCTTAACACTTTTAAGATGATGCTTCTAGAGACGGGCCCAAAGCTGCTGGCGGAGCACATAACCCGCATCGACATTGGCCTATTTCTGGAACATCCTTCAAACGAGGAGGACTACTATCTGAGCTGTTCGGGCCTTGAGCTCCTGACCCTGCCCCACGGAAAGCTTTTCCGCGAGGACGTTATCGAGCGGACACAGTGCATAAAACTAATGGTAGCAGTGACTATACTGACCTGTCAAACGGATATGGACCGAGCCCAGCTACTTAGTAAATGGATTCAGATAGCCGTGGAGACTAAGACTGCCCTAGGCAATCTGTTTGGCTTCTGTGCTATCATGTTGGGACTATGCATGCAACAGGTAAATTCTAAATGGGTGCAGTGCACAGAAAAATGGTAATAACACCTCTAGTCTATAAAACCTTTTAATATACATTTTTTCTTGGTATTAACCGATTGAATTTTTGCCGCCAAGGAAAGATCAAAACTTAAATTTAATATGTGTACTGTGACCAAAAAGTTGTTTCTTTACAAAGACATTTTTTTATGATTACATCATATTTTAGATTAGGTACTCTTAAACATATAAAAACATTCAAATCTTCATTGAAGCTTTAATTTCCACTTTATTTTCATATGATTTTATGTCCAATGGCGGCCAAATTGAAATGTAAATATTTGAAACGTGTTTTTTTTATACTGAGTATTCCTGAGTATTATCATTTATTCAAAAGAGAAATTTCCGACCGTATAAAGTGTATATATTCTTGGTCAGCATCACTAGGCGTGCTGATAAATTCGTCTCTGTCTAAACTGTTTGCAAGCTCACTTTCAAAAGCTAAAGACTTGACCCTTTCGGAACAATAAGGTCAGAATGGTAAATGTTAAACCTCACTTTAAAAGCTAGAGATATTATTTTTAATACACAGCTGGTTGTAACTGTTACAAACATCCCGCAAAGTTTAATCAACACATCCGAACCACCTTATGCTTTTTTAAAGCCCGAGGCCTTGTTTCTGATGAGGTTGAAAAGAACCTCGACAGATTGCGAAACATTAAGACGTCTGGAAACCACAGGAATTCTTAAATCCTGCTTCCCTAAAAAAAAGTTTGTCTGCAAATACGAAAGCTGCACACTAGTAAAGCGGTAGCATTGCTAGTATGCTCAAAAGAGAGGCGAAAGGGCATCCATAACATGCATTCGAGCTTAAGGCTCTTTTCACCTCCGAATTATAGGGAACTGGGTGCCAAGTAGGTAAACATTTTTGAAATCAAACATTTTTTTTTTAAATTATTTACACATTAAATTCAGCAAAGTCAATGACGTCAGCTCTATCGCAATAGCCACATCCATTTTTTTTCCGCACAAATATAATTGATAGGAGCATATTTGTTTCAAAATTGGATAACAGAGAATCGGGTATTTGTCGTGGCAGTCGACTAAAGAGTTGCTTTTTTTCATAATTTTGTTTACAAACTCTTGTACAAAATATTTATTCATCAACTCCATATACTTGAAAGTAGCGTTCACATTCATTAATTAATATAATCCCTAAGGAATTAATGCATTCGTTATAGTTCAAATGTTTTAGTTTCGAGTACGGTTTTTTGGCTACTATCTTTTTGGGTTAAACAGTTATTTCGGTTTCAATGGTTTCCTTTATAAGCTTAGTTTAGTTATTAAAAAAAAAACGGACACTTTTGGTAACTTCCAATCGATTTACAAAAAAAAAATAAACGTTTAGCTAAAATGCTTTGGGAACAGAAGAAATCTACAAGACGATACCTTCTAATCTGCATATACATTGTTTAGATCGAGCTTTTATTCCTGCAAAACTTAATGCCTTATCTTCCTTATCTACACACTTCCAGATTCAGAAGCTCGACCAGGCCTGGCACATCCTGAGGCAGCAGTATACGGACAGTGCATTCACCTTTGAGGCCAAGCTGCGTCCCACGTTGAGCACCATGAACGAGGCCTCTAATCCGCAGGCCCCAAACACAACCGTTCCTCACGTTCTTCTTTACGCGCTATTGATCGATCGGCCTGTCATGGACATCATAAACCATTCGAACATCGACGATCGCCCCGCTCTGTACCACACTTGTATTACTCCTTGGGAGTCGAAGGCGGATGACTTCGGTATGTCCATTAATTTCCAGCATCTGGATGCTTCGCGCGGCTTTCTAAGGAACTTGGATTTATATCGAAAGAATGCAAAGATCATACTAGAGGACGCTAGCCCTAGACTGGATGAGCTTTTAGCAGATGCTTTCCGGTAATATTGCAGACTCCAGAATCCATAATCTGACTCCCTTTTCTTTTGTAGAACCGAGTTTCATGTGAAGTTCCTATGGGGCAGTTCTGGAGTTACTGCAAGATCGGAAGATCGTCACAACAAACTGGAAAAGGTGCTAACCCTGATGGCCGACAAGTTCTGCATGATGACCGAATAATTAAAAAGAAAAAACTTACTGTATTTATTGGATCACTACGCAATTTTTTTAAATTATTCATCTTTACTTAACTCTAGACCCTCCGCAAATTTGAATTTCATGCTGTCTCTACCTCAGCCTAATTAAATATAATTTTAGCAGGAACACAAAAGCACTTTATGTTACAGTTCAAATATGAATTAACCTAAGTTAAGTCAACTTTAAAAATGTATGTGCGTGCAGTGTAAAAGGGGAATCCAAAAAGATCACAACTAGTTATCACATATTCATCAGTAACTTTTAAGAGCAGTCTTGCTCCGACATACTACCAAAGCTTAATACTTACTACCTATTCCATTATTCTATTAAATAACATATTCTACTATAGATCAGACAATATAAATAAATCAAAACATCATACTTAAAGATACTCTATATATAGTCATAACACTGAGAATACATAAGCTTTGCAATTTTATAAATGTAAAGATAATGAAAATAAAGAAAATACTTAAGCCTTGTGGGGCACTATAATAATCTTCTTGGGGTTCCTCGACCTTTTATTTATATTACACTAAGTCCCAATCCCGCAAAAGCTTGTCATGCAGACGCTGAAGTTATTAATAAGCTTAAGAAAAATCCACCTATTAACATTTTATATAAACATCGCCTTTTTAAGTTAATCAAATTTTGTAAAGTCCAGAATATGACTTTATATAGCCGCAGCACTTAAGCCTCCTAGATAATCTGTTTGGATAATTTGTAACCACGCCTAATGCCCACTTTTATTAATTCTTTAATGGGACAGGTTGCCATAGTTTGCAATCCAATGGCGGTTCCTCTTGACAAAATGGATAAATGGGGAAATTAATTGAATTAATTGATTAATTATTAAGTAATTGGTCAAGACATAACTTTGGGTAACAAATAATCTTCGCTAATCTTGGCCTAATAAATATAATCAGCAAACACGTCGATTAAGTTTAGCAGTACTTTGAAGTACTTATGAATTGGGAAAACAATTGAACGAATGGCACATATCACAACTATGAATTCAAAAGGAGCTGCGATTACCCGGCTAAATGTGCAGCCTTATCGGCCACTCAAGCGGCGATCAACAGGCCTTATCAGACCCCCGGAAAATACGCGTCCAAAGTTCCAGCAAGCCACACTAACCCATTACCCATTAGCGAGTCATTGTGCTCCGGGCACCACTAGCGAGTGGTTGTGAATTAATATTTGGAGGGGCTTGAGCTTTAAGCTTTTCCAGACGATAAAATTGCAGGCTTTTTTTCTTTGTGTTTTAAAGTCAGGCCTCAATATGAGCGGCGGCTGTCATTGCACTCGTAAGCTGACAATGGCCGTGAGTGGTTGTCTGATAATCGCTGTGATGGCCCTCACCGTCGGGCTTTGTGTCGGACTGGGCGGTGGTACCGACGCCCTTGAGGTGAGTCGGAGTTGGCCAACTAGATGGTTTCACTGGCCTGCAAGTTTGTAACATTTGGCCGAATTCAATCGTAAATTCAAACAGGACCAGCCCAGATTTACGATCGACCACGAGGCCAACTCCTTTATGCTGGATGGCAAGCCTTTCCGATACGTATCTGGATCGTTCCACTATTTCCGGGCTGTGCCCGAATCCTGGCGGAGTCGACTGCGGACAATGCGAGCATCTGGTCTGAATGTACTTGATACGTAAGTTATTTTACTAAGGTTCGCATTAAAACTATTCGACACTTAGAAAATTTGGTGTAAATTAGAATATTGATCTTATATTAAAAAATTAGCCGTCAATTGTAGTAAATATATTCTATTTGTCGCGTTTTGTGACTGTTTACAGTGGTCAAACTTAACAGATATTGTCTTTGGTTATTTGTATATATTTAATATACAACATTCACAGCTTCGACGCTCATGGAATAAATAAAATATTTTTCTTCAACCCATAGTATTTATTTTGAAATTTACTTTTTGAAACACTTTGTTTCCATAAGAAGTACACGAGCACAGCTCGATGTTGCGATTAAAGTTACTTGTTACTTGATACTACGATTGCATGAAGTATTAAGGCTCTTTTGTAGAATAACCAATAAAAGCTATTTACTAAAAAAATAGTTAACTATCAATGGGCTAGAGATTTGTATTTAACATTTTTAATACATTACTTATTACGTTAGCTAATTAACAACTATCCATTTGCCGGTGAATTGTAATTATTTTATTGGTCAATTTGAGAAATGCATGTTTTGTTTTTTGATTGTATGTAGTTTATGTACACTATAGTTAAATATAGTTTCACAATAAAATTACAAATTTGACGACGGTTTAAGAAAACACAATATATTCTTAAACCAGTTTTCAAGTCCGCACTTATATTTGCCACACGGAATATCGGGCTGATAAATTATGTTCATGCTCGCTTAGGTATAACATATAATATAAACATCCAAGTCGTTCTAAGTCCATGTCAGCAGTGAGATTTCTGGATCTATTTTAACGGATTGCAAAATGTAATACGTTTTCCTCTCAATCTTAAAATTTCTCGGATAAAGTCTGCGTACAGAAATTAAAGTATCTCGCGCATAGAGAAAAATCTAAATAGAGAATTAAGTTTCTCTGTCCGAACTTCTGTCAGCTGAATAAAAATTGTAGCGAAATTCTTGGTTCTTATTTCCAGCTATGTAGAATGGTCCCTTCATAATCCCCATGATGGCGAATACAACTGGGAGGGCATTGCGAATGTGGTCAAGTTCCTAGAGATTGCCCAGGAAGAAGATTTCTATATCATACTCCGACCTGGGCCCTATATTTGCGCTGAGAGAGACAATGTAAGTAACGTAATATAGGAATAAATAAATACTATTAATGATAATGGAACAAGCTATGAATATTTCGTATATATTCTGTTAATCGGGATCAACAGCCAATGCCTTCATAGATTTGGAATCTATGTATTGAAAACATAGTGTTGACAATTCCCGAGAAAGTACCTTAAACCATTCTTTTTTAGGGAGGTCTTCCCCACTGGCTCTTCGCCAAATACCCCACCATTAAAATGCGGACCAATGACCCAAACTACATCGCAGAGGTGGGAAAGTGGTACGCGGAGTTGATGCCACGTCTCCAGCACCTTTTAGTGGGCAACGGCGGCAAGATCATTATGGTGCAGGTGGAGAACGAGTACGGGGATTATGCCTGCGATCACGACTACCTCAACTGGCTGAGAGACGAGACAGAGAAGTATGTGAACGACAAGGCCCTGCTCTTCACTGTGGACATCCCCAACGAGAAGATGAGCTGCGGAAAAATTGAGAACGTGTTTGCCACCACTGACTTTGGAATTGATCGCAGTAAGTTGAGCAAGTTAAGGGAAAGCCGAGCTTTTACGTAACCCGCTTTGCAGTCCATGAGATTGACGAGATCTGGAAAATGTTGCGTGTCCTACAACCCACTGGTCCACTGGTTAACTCGGAGTTTTATCCTGGCTGGCTGACCCATTGGCAGGAGCAAAACCAAAGGCGTGATGGTCAAGAGGTTGCCGATGCGTTAAGGTAAGGTGCATTTTATAAAAGCGGTATACAAACATAAACTTCCTTTCGATCCTTTGTTAAAGCAAAACAAGCAATATGTTTTCCAAAACATCCGAATAAAAAATGCATAACTTCGGAATCAAATACCCAAAATGCAAGAGAGTTGTACACAAAAATCAAATCAATCAGACTTTAATCTCTCAAAATTAGTACCCTTATTAGGTTTTGTATGCAAAACAGAAATTAAAACAGGAGAGAACGCTATAGTCGAATGCCTCGACTATTAGATACCCGTTACTCAGCTAAACAACTTTAGATTTTGCATTAACATAATGTGAATTAGAGTGACCACAGGAAAAAAGGACAAAAAAAAAAAATTATTAATTTGAATTATGCGATCTCTTAGAGCTGGCAGCTTTACACACGAGCATCAGCACCAGCGCTGCTTTAGCGCAGGCAGCTTTTGTCCTGCACCAGCATACACACATACGCCATTGTTTGACCAAAGACCAATATAATCACAAATGAAAACCATCGCAATTTCCTTTAATAGAAATCCTTATCGAGAATTAACGTTGACTCTGTTGAGCACCTTGGCCAGCTGTTCCAAAGTCATCCGGTAGATGGCGCCATTGTATTGCGGAAATGTAGGCGCTAGCCAGGCTTAAGCGTTTAATGAGTTTTATGGGCGTTATTAGGCCAATCGACAGGTATTGACGAAACAAGTACCATCAATTTTCATAATAGCATCAAAACTGTGGCCACAGCTTGTGGCTTGTGGGCGTCAGAGGGGGCGTGGCACCATTTTGAAACAAACTTGCGCTGCGTAGGAACTTCTAAAATCTACATGCAAAATGCCAGTCTACTAGCTTTTATAGTTTCCGAGATCTCAGCGTTCATACGGACAGACAGACAGACGGACAGACGGACATGGCTAGATCGACTCGGCTAGTGATCCTGAACAAGAATATATATACTTTATAGGGTCGGAAACGTTTCCTTCTACTTGTTACATTCTTTTGCACGAATACAATATACCCTTTTACTCTACGAGTAACGGGTATAACCAGGTTATCCAACCAGTTGCATAACAGTTATTTTAATTCAGCTGGTACAATTTTTTTTTATACCGAATTTTTACCAAACCCTAACCGCAACCGAAATATTTTCTGAAACTGTAACAGTAACCAAAATAAATAAAAGGGCCTTCCATTTATTAAGTAATCGTGGCGGTGGAGCGTTAAAAAAATGATGACGTAATATATGGACAACCCCTAACCACCATTAAGACAATGTATAAAAAATTATAAATTATTATGCTTTTTTACTAGTACTCAAGAGTAAATTTGAAATGATTCCAGGACGATCCTTAGCTACAACGCCAGTGTCAATCTATACATGTTCTTCGGCGGCACAAACTTCGGTTTTACCGCCGGAGCCAACTACAACCTGGACGGTGGCATCGGCTATGCGGCGGACATAACCAGCTACGACTACGACGCGGTAATGGACGAGGCCGGAGGGGTGACAACGAAATACAGCCTTGTCCAAGCTGTAATCGGGGAGTTTCTTCAGCTGCCCGAAATCAATTTGAGTCCCGCCAAGCGCCTGGCCTACGGAAAGGTGGAGGTTGCACCCAAGTTGGCGCTGCTCTCGGCAGAAGGACGTGCTGCACTCTCCAAAGGTGACGCCGTAGTGTCGGCCAAACCGAAATCCTTCGAAGAATTAGACTTGTACTCGGGGCTCGTCCTCTATGAGACAACGCTGCCGACCATGGATCTGGACCCGGCTCTATTAAAAATAGATCAGATTAACGACCGCGCACACGTCTTCGTGGACCAGGAGCTAGTGGGTACACTCTCCCGGGAGGCTCAGATCTACTCACTGCCCCTTAGCAAGGGATGGGGAAGCACCCTCCAACTGCTCGTGGAGAACCAAGGACGGGTAAACTACTACATCTCCAACGACACGAAGGGTATCTTTGGCGAGGTGAGTCTGCAGCTACACAATGGTGGGTACCTGCCCCTAGAGAACTGGCGGAGTACCGCCTTTCCGCTGGAGCAATCCTCAATCAAACTCTGGCTTCGCTGGCACAGCGGGGAAAAGATTTTAGACTCGTTCCTGGCCAGTCAACGTATTCTTCGCAACGGACCCATTCTCTATACTGGCAGCCTGACGGTGGCGGAGGTAGGCGACACCTATCTCAACATGGCGGGTTGGGGCAAAGGAGTGGCCTATGTGAACGGCTTCAATTTGGGGCGCTACTGGCCCGTGGCTGGTCCGCAGGTTACTCTGTATGTGCCCAACGAAATCCTCCGGCTGGGCGAAAACTCTCTTGTCATCCTTGAGTACCAGCGAGCAAATAAGACTGCAAGAGGCGATGACCTTCCCGCCGTGCAGTTCGACGCAATAGCTCAGCTGGATGGAGAGTCTGGAGATGTTCCACTTAAATGAAGGACTATCTAACAATTATTTTTCGATAATTCTTTATTTTAAGCAGTTTTGATTGATCTTTGTATCGACAACCTTTGTTAAGCCTTATAATACATTTTCTAACTTTCTATGTTTATCTATGCCTAAATACATTTTTGTTATACTTGCATGACTGATTTGATCTTTTTTCAGCTCGCTTTCAATTGACTTTTTCCGTTAGCATTACAATATAATTTTATTATATTTATAATTTGTTGCATTTGTGTTTTTATTTTTGTGTTTGATTAGCTCATATGTATTTTTAAATTTGTATCAGTAATATCATTGGCAAATGGAGATTCAGAGTTCTCTTAATGTGTTTTCTGGTGGTTTTGAGCATTGTTTTAATTTCAGTTTGGTGTACCACCAGAGATATCATTTATATATGACATTTTATACATCTGTATGCAGACTGAGTAAAAAGCCTTTTTAAAGAGATGTGGAAATCAATGTGAGTATAATTGTCTTTAAGTTGTTTTAAAAAATCATTTTTTTAGATTTTAAAAGAATCTGACTAAGACACAGTTTACAGGACCTTTTAGCTATTTGGAAAACAAATTTAACCTCATTTAATACTCTTTTAGGGCAGTGGTGTAATGAAATGTATAGGCAAAAGTCTTTATTAAATGTATTCAAAGACTAATCACTCTTTGTGAACAGAAAATTAGCATTTCATTTGTAAGTAAATAATACAGTTTTTCGGTATTACGGTTGTTTGCAATGCAGATTTAAAAAGGTACAATAGCGAATTTAAGATGGTCTTACTCAAGCATATATGTGCGCTTTTTAATAAATATACCAACAATTGTCTTCCTCTTTACTCAATTACAATTGCGTGTTGCAAAAATATATTTATATGCTGTAAAGCTAACGATTTTTTGTGCATTAAATTGGTTTAAGCTCATTAATACTTAACTAGCAAATTGTTTTTTTTTCTTATTTTTTGTTTTGCGATTTTGGTACCCACACACCTTTGGGTTTTTATTCTCTTACAAAAATAACTATTAACATATTATTTTTAAGACAAATATCTCATGTGATAGCTTGTATTTGCTCTGTTAAGAATTGAGTTTCGTGTTATTTTCATTTAATTTGTTGGAAATTGTTGCATATAATTTCGGTTTTCTATACATTTCTTTAAAAATATATCACAGCTGCATTTCAAGATAATTTTTTTCTGTTTTTATATGCCTCCTTTCACTTTTATTGTAAAAAGTTTAGAAAATCTCTTTAAAATGTTTGCTCTTATTTTCTCATTTTTTTTAAGGTATAGGGAAGCCGACGTAAAAACAGCAACAAATTTGGCAACCTAGTTAATATTAGTCAATGTCCATGAAGACGGAATGCGTTTGCTTTAGTTAGACACATAGCTATGTTACGAGTACATAGGTAATTTATAGTATAGCTAACTAACCGGAGCGCAGAAGAGTAGTTGCAGTGTTTGTTCAAAGTGGGTGATGCCCCGAGTTGCTTACCACGTAGTTCCCTCAATCCTTCGACGCATAGGATGCGTTTTTAAATGGCAGAGGGGGCAGCAAGAGCCATTTGTCAGTGCCATTTTGACTTTTGCGTGAAGATATCGGCGCGTAGGTTCTGAGCAAAGCAAATGCCTAGGATCTGAAAAAAGTTGTAGGTTATAAAGTACTCTAACCATTCCCGTCGTATGAAAAATAACAAAAATTAACAAATCGAAATCAAACAGAGACCTGGAAAAACATTACAACAATAACAGCAGTGGAAATAATAATCAAATTGTGCTCCATCCATTCTTCGCCAGCTTGAACACAGCCCTTCTCATAGATTATCTTGGACAGCTCCATGCCCTGGCAAATAATTAAAAAAGAAGTAAAATAAATTTAAAAATCAGTACAAAATATATAGGACGTACGAGTGCGCAAGCTTTTTTTTTAAATCTCGAGCCTAAATACTGTTATTGCTGCAAAAACTATAATGACGTTAAAAAATAACAGAAAATGGTATCTCAAATAAGACAATCGCATTTGGAGAAAAGTTTGGCAACCGATTCCCTTAAAGTAATAAACAACAAAAAACTGCCACAAAAAAAAATTCACAAGAATGTAACATGCAAACTGATTACTCGTACACAGACTTGGTCTTATAAAAAAACGAGGACGGAAGCTAACTTCCGCAAGCCGAAGTTTTAATACCCTTGCAGACTTTGACGAAATCGCTAAAAGTGAAAAAGTAGCGAAAGGAATAAGGTATACATAAGTAAACTAGATTTGCATCGTTTCAAGTCAATTGCTTTTATACTCCAAAAATGTCATATACAAAAGGGATACTTTCGCAGCCTTTAACAATTTTTCCTATCTCCTTTAAGATATAGACTTCCGAGCGGCAAGCGCTTTTACCCTAATCAAGATATGCGTAAATAAATAAGAATTGGAAAATTTTTTGTTAGTAGCTTACACACTGCGCGAAATATTCTGATAATCATCAAATTTGGACCGATTTCACCCTATTGTTCCTATGGGAGCTATAGGATATAGACGTCCGATCGGCACGCGCTTTCACCTTGATCAATGTATGCATAAAAAAATAGGATTTGGAAAGATTCATGTCAATAGCTTGTATACTGCGTGAAATATCCTAAAAATCATTAAATTTTAACCGATTTTACCCTTTTGTTCCTATGGGAGCTATAGGATATAGACGTCCGATCGTCACGCGCTTTTACTCTGATCAAGGTACGCATAAAAAATAAGATTTGGAAAGATTTATGTCAATAGCTTTTACACTGCGCGAAATATCTTCCATTCTTGCAAGTTATATCCGATTGTTCCTATGGGAGCTATAGGATATAGACATCCGATCGGGGCGGTTTTCAAACTTGATCTGCGTACACTTGTTTTAGGACGACTGTGAAAGTTTCAGATCGCTAGCTTTTAAACTGAGCTCGCAAATGGTATTGAAACAGACGGACAGACGGACGGACGTACAGACGGACAGACGGACATGGCTATATCGACTCCCCTATTGATCCTGATCAAGAATATATATACTTTATAGGGTCGGAAACGTCTCCTTCACTGCGTTACAAACTTCTGACCAAAATTATAATACCCTCTGCAAGGGTATAATGACGAAAAGCGTAAAATGTTAACGAACCCATTAAAACTTAAAATCGCTTAGAAGGTTGATAGGCAGAATGTTTGAGAAAACCTCTTAATGAAAACCCCAAGAGTCAAATTTTTCAATCGCTTATTTGTATATATAGTTTTCGCAATCTCGGAGGAAAAAACATATTTAAAATATAGAAGCGCTTTAAAATATATCAGTAATATGTTTAAACAAGAAAGGAAGCAAACTTCGGCAAGCCGAAGTTTATATACCCTTGCAGTTATTACAAATCGACCACATTTCGATTTCTATGCCTATATTACTAAATTTTGCGCTTCATTTCGTCGTCGTTGGCAGCTGTTTGATTTTAATTTAATTAAAACAGTTATTCAATCATTTTTAAATAAAACCAAATCCCAGAGAACAAAAAAAAATAATTAAAAAACAACAAAGTTATAATTTTTATGAATTTTTTTTCTGATTGTACCTATGGGAGCTATATGATATATTGTCGGATATATTGTCGCCCGATCCGGCTCTTTCTGACTTATATACTACCTGCAATAGAAAGACCACTTTTGGGAAAGTTTCAAGCATATAGCTTTAAAACTGAGGGACTAGTTTGCGTAGGAACGGACAGACGGACGGACAGACGGACATGGCTAGATCGACTCTCCTGGTGATGCTGATCAAGAATATTTATACTTTATAGGGTCGGGAATGTTTCCTTCACTGCGTTGCAAACTTTTGACTGAAATTATAATACCGTCTGCAAAGGATGAGGGAACTAGCTTGGTATAACCGATTCATGTCCACGGTCGAAAATCATATGACTTGTCCTGATGCTTATCTAGAATACCTTCGTAACACTATAGGGTAGTAAATGCTTGATCATGACGAAAACTATAACACACCCCGCTAGGGTATTTTAAATTAAGGCACACTTAAATGATTATGGTTTTTCTTTTGCACCTGCAGAACCAGCAAGGCCACGCAACAGATTGCCACGCTAATGAGGTGTGCCTCCAGCCAATCCTCGCCAGCGCGCAAACACCCTCGCTCATGAATGTTCCTATCCACCGGCTGCTTGCGTACAATTTGTGAATTAAAAGATGCGTTTGGGAAAAAGACGGTATGCAACCATCAGACTTACATATCCCTCTTTGCGCACATCGTAGCCGCATTGTTTGTTTTTAATCAGCTCCTGGGGACGCCTGCGACAGCAGGAAAACGGCACTCCGCACGCCTCCCTGCTGCCGATGGCGATGGACGAGCAGTTAAAGTAGTTGTTGCTGTCCCAGTCCTTTGGCCCGTCAATGCCGCAGCACTGCAGCCAGTCCTCCTGGATCCAGTCAATAAGGTTCTGCTGGTCTGCGTCCTCGCGATAGTGCCGAATGAAGGCCTTCAGTCCCTCGGTTGCCTGGTCCTTGATCTGGAAGAGAAAAGAAAAGTCTGGGTCTGGACCATCCAGTTAGGAGGCATTTAAATGAGACTTACCCAGCCCTTGTCTTTAAGCACGAAGGCCACAGCGCAAAAGCCAATCTCGGCCATAAGCAGGACACTCAGGAAAATGGCGTACTACGAAAAAAGGCAGGACGTTTAGCTGGGCTTAGAAGGCTCCCCAAACAATTGAATACCCACCGCTGCAAGGAGGCAAGTGTTCTCTCGCAGGGCGCCCACGCTGCCCATGAAACCCAGCTGGAAGCTGATGCACCCGAGGATGATTAGCACGAAGGCTGGGTCCAGGGCGATGAAGTGCAGCCGAGTGATGTTGCGGAACATATCCTTTTCACTCCAAGCCCAGATGCCAACCGAAAGGACCAGCAAGGCCGAGAGCCATAGGATTACATTGCTGGCGAACAGAAGGTACTTAAGGCAGCAGCTGATTTCGCTGGTCTCGCGACGGAACTTGCGCACAGCAGCTGGCATGGCTCCAATTTTAACAATAATAAATATACACTCACTCGCATATCTCTGCGTACACCCCAAAAAAATTTCAAAATCTAACTTTGAACATTAATTGTTCGGCCATTTATGCATGTATTTTATTCATTCTTTTTTTAAACAAAACTATGGTTTATTGTCTTCATTGACGTAGAAATATTAGAAATATTCAACAGGGGGTTATATTTTATTTTTAATTTTAAACCTAACACTACGAAAAAGTGTACGCGCAAAAGTCTGCGTACAGCAGTTTTCAACTTCGAGGAATGCGGGATTGTGCGATTTCCGTTAATTTTGTTGTCGCCGATCTACTTTAGAATGTCTAAAAATAGACATTACGCAGTTAAAATGAAACTCTTTCATTATAATAACGAGCATATTGCAACATGGAACAAAAAGGCAAGGAAATTTCTGTTGGGGAGTGGAAAATTATATTAAAAGGTTTTTTGGATGGAAAATCTTATAGAGAAATTGGTGCTTTAGTTGGTAGAACCCACTCATCCATCCAAAGAGTGATAAATAACTACAACTCGGGTGGAAGTATCTTGCCAAAGGCTCGTTCTGGCCGTCCGCCTTTGCTTATAAACCGCGAGCAGAGGAATATTATCAAATCTATTCAGCTCAACCCAAGGACGACAGCTCACCAGGCAAAGCTGAAGGTCGAGGATAGATTTTCCAAAAGAGTTTCCGAAGATACTGTACGCCGGACCATAAAAAAGGCTGACTACCATAGCAGAGCCGCCCGCAAAAAACCTCTCATATCGGAAGTCAATAGACAAAAGCGCCTAACCTTTACTTTTCCAACACCAAGACTTCTGGAATAAGATTATATTTCCCGACGAAACTAAATTCTGCATATTTGGAATCAAGGGAAAGGTTTTGGTATGGAGGAAAAGCGGAGAAGCCTCAAATTAAGAAAATTTGGTTGGCACAGTAAATCAAGGAGGAAGCGGAATAATGGTGTGGGGGTGTATGGCAGCAAGTGGCGTTGGAAAATTGGTATTTATCGAGTTAATAATGGATCAGAAAATCTATATTGACATATTAAAAAACAATTTAAAAGAAAGTGCTGAAAAATTAGGGCTCGAAAGTGAATGTTGGTTCCAACAAGACAACGACCCGAAGCATACGGCGCAGAATACCAAGCTTTGGCTGCTGTATAACGTCATAAATCAGCTGCGAACACCTCCCCAAAGTCCTGATCTAAGCCCAAATGAGCATTTTTGGGATCTTCTTGAGAGGAAAATCCGAAGACACACGATAACATCTAAAAAATGCTCAAGAATGTGATTCTCGAGGAGTAGGGGAAAATTACTGCAAATGAGACAAAAAAAAAAGTGGATTCCATCCCGAGACGCCTTACGGAAGTTTTGCAGAGAAAAGAATACCCTACCAGTTACTAAAAATAATATTATTTGTGTTTTAAACAGGTGTACGCAGACTTTTGCGGCTACATTTTTTGGTAGTGTTAAGTTTAAAATTAAAAATAAAATATAAGACACTGTTGAATAATTTAAAAAAAAATACGTCAATGAAGACAATAAATTATAATTATGTTTAAAAGAAGAATGGGTTGAGTATATGCATAAATGGCCGAACAGCTAGGGTTTAAAGTTAGATTTTGAAATTTTTTTGGGGTGTACGCAGAGATATGCGAGTGAGTGTAGCCAAAAAACAAAAACGTAAGAGATTCTATTCACAGGTGTGACCGGACCTGAACTATCACATTACGCCAAAAGGCGTTAAAAATATACTAAAACTGGCAGGTGTCAAAACCGTCCCATTTCTCTTAACAGGTTTTTTGCTAAACTTCATTTGAATTTCAAAGGGTTTTTTTGTGTTTATTGTTTTTTAATTAATTTTTTTAACTTTAGATTTTACAATGGTTTTGAAAGTAACAATTGCATAAAATAAAACAGTGAAATTTGGATTTGGAATCTGATGTCAATATGGCGGACCACATTAAACAAAAACAATGTTTCAGTATGCTAATAAATGGGTGACTAATAACGATGTTTTAGACTGTATATTTTTAAATCTACTAAAAGTATTTTACAGTCTGTTTTCGAAAACAAAATATTGTTTCTCATATTTTCCTTTTATTTAGCTTAAATACAAAATTTTTGACAATTGTCCATCATGATTTCGAGCACATTTGTTTAACGACCGAGGCATATTTTTGTACTAAAATATGAAATTTTAATTTATATAATTTTTTGTATAAAAAGGTAATGTAATTGGGTACTTAAAATTCATTATTCATGCATAAATAAGTTTTAGAGCTTGAAAAGTCTATAAACACTGGTAAAGTATTCATTAGTTAACTAATACAATTTCCAACAAAATAAGTTATTTTTTATTAAATCATTTAGAATAACTTTGATATTTGGCTAAAAATATCGAACTATGGAAATTTGTTTGCTAGCAGTGTTTAGTTTGAAAACCGTTTTCTATTTACATACATCGCAATGCATATTTGAGTAAGTTTTATACCAAATAAGTTTAAAAACAATTAGAAACGTTATAAAATAAGGTACACGACAAGCAAAGAGCGAGCGGCACCCCTAGCCCGCGGTAGCAGTTCGTTCGCTCTCTTTCACTCTCCCACATGCATATGTACATATGTATGTACATAAACTCAGTTTCTCAAATGTGGAGTGACGTCATAATTAATACCTTAAGGCGGTTATGGTTAATTCGGCAAAAAAAAGCCTATTTCCATGAATTTTTTCACGCGATACGGTTAATGTCAGATCAATTATTTTATAAGCATATTAAAGTACAACGTTTAAACTACGTTTTCACTACGTTTTTATTAAAAACAAGAAAGGAAAGCAAACTTCGGGCGGAGCCGAAGTTGATATACCCTTGCAGAATATTCTGTTAATTATATTCACCAAAATGATTCATATGATGCATTCTTAATACTCATAAAAAAACCCAACTTCCTAACATTAATAACACCAAGGTTATGGCATTTCCAATCGTTCAGTTATATGGCAGCTATAGGATATAGTCGGGCGATCCTTATGAAATTTGGTAGGTCGGAATGATTGACCAAAAATAAAACCCTTAGAAAATCCCAACTTCCAAACTTAACAAACACCAAAGTTATGGCATTTCCGATCAATCAGTTATATGGCAGCTATAGGATATAGTCGGCCGATCCCGGCCGTTCCGACTTATATACTGCGTGCAAAGGAAAGAAGGGTGTGTGCAAACTTTCAATTCGATATCTTTAAAACTGAGACCCTAGTTCGCGTAGAAACAGACGGACATGGCTATATCAACTCACTAGGTGATCCTGATCAAGAATATATGTATGTCGTGGATTGGTTGGACAATTCAAATTATAACGACTGTTAGCTTTGATTTGTCTTTCGCTTCTCCTTCGTTTTCATGTGCTTCTGTGCTGTTTCTTCGGTTCTCCGAATGGAGGCAACTGATTCTGTTGTCAACGTTAGTCTGTGCACTGGTGTGAGCGAGATAGAAGGATGCAGGTGTCCGCATCAAAAAGGGATAACGGAAAGTTCTTAATGGTGTGTGTATTGGAATGTGGAATAAGAGTGGAATAAAGTAGAGAGCGACGCTTGCAAAAAGGGACGCAAGCAGTTTTAGAGAACATTCGTATTTGAAGAGCCAAACTGCAAAGACATGCCACGCGCCAGAAAACGTTTCCGTTCGGACCACGAAGAGCAGCCTGAAGCGGAGGACGATTCCAGTGAATCCTCGACATCAGAAGTGGGATTGCCCAGGCCTCAAATCGAAAGTGAAAATAATCTGAAACTGCTTTTGGAATCACAAAATCGTACTTTCTCGGAACTCATAAAAGCAGTACAGCGAGCCCCGAATGACGCAGTTGCCATTATATTGCCGAACTTTAATCCTGATCGTGCAAGCGCGGATGCAGTATCATGGAGTGCAACGGTGGATTACATTCTTTCCGAAAACAGTCTAGAAGGCAGCGCTCTTGTGATGGCTCTCAGTCGGTCTTTGCAGGGAAGCGCGTCTCATTGGCTTGCACAAACGGTCTACCCTGGGATCACATGGACGCAGTTCAGAGAACTGTTTTTGCAGTATTTCGCCGGAACGGAGACCTTGGCTGCAACTGTGTTAAATCTGCTGAATGGTCGCCCAACAGAGGGAGAATCTATGTCGCTGTATGGAAGCAGAATTGTAACATCCCTGATGTCCAGGTGGAAGTCCCTGACGGTAGAGCAAATTGCCGTTTCTGTTGCTTTGGCGCACGTGGCTGGATTGGACAAGCGACTGCGACGCTTGGCTTTTACTACAGAAGTCAATTCTCGGAACGAGTTACAACAGGAGTTGAAAGCCTTTTCTTTTGATGCTGGACCGAGCCGCGGTACTGGTGACGTCCTGTCGGCCCTGACTAATAAGAAAACAAGACCCTTCTCCAATATCAGATGTTACAAATGCGGAAAAGATGGTCACAAGAAGGCGGAGTGTCGTTCGTCTGGTGTGCAACCGCGACATAGCCAACTAGCTACTCAACGTTCTGGACATAATGGAGGAAGAGATCGCTCGACTCTAATCTGCTTTAAGTGTGGAAAGGAAGGACATGTGGCTACTGTGTGCCCGGATCGTCAGGAGCGCTCAATGCCGGTCAAGAGGGATTATGTTAAAGATGTCAACCTGTGTACCGTACTTGAGCCCCTTGGAACTTTTCAACAATTTGGTGAGTCGTTCCAATTTTGTTTTGACTCAGGAGCCGAGTGCTCGCTTATCAAGGAAGCCGTCTCGCTAAAGCTGTCTGGACCTAGAATAAATAACGTAGTAATTTTAAGGGGTATTGGTAGTAATACGGTTTGTAGCACCCTACAGATTTTGGCTAAAGTTTTGATTTGTGATCATTCCTTCGAAGTTCTTTTCCATGCAGTTCAAGATAGTTATATCAAATACGATGCTTTGATTGGGCGTGAAATTTTGAGCCAGGGAATCGGTGTAACAATTACATCAAATTCACTTTCAATGTTTAATGAAAAAACTGTATTGCCTGTCTTGACTTCAGATTGTGTTCCCGATTTGGCCAATGTTGATACCGATCTAAGTGGTTTAGATAAGGATAGGCTAATATCAATGCTTCAAAATTATTCTGGTTCGTTTATAAACGGTATTCCACAAAGTCGCGTAACTACGGGGCAGCTAGAGATTCGACTGATTGATCCAAACAAGACAGTCCAGAGACGACCCTATAGATTGAGCGTGGAAGAAAAAGAACAAGTGCGAATGTCTATTAAACAGCTGTTGGATGCAAACATTATAAGACCAAGTTCCTCCCCCTTTGCAAGCCCGATGCTTCTTGTTAAGAAGAAAAATGGAACTGACCGTCTCTGCGTTGATTATAGGGAACTGAATTCGAACACTATTTCCGATAAGTATCCGTTGCCACTTATTTCGGACCAGATAGGTAGACTAAGCGGTGCTAAGTTTTTCACCTGCATAGATATGGCAAGCGGATTCCACCAAATCCCAATTCATCCGAATTCGATCGAACGAACAGCGTTCGTTACTCCGGACGGACAGTATGAGTTTGTTACCATGCCATTTGGGTTAAAGAATGCCCCTTCCGTATTTCAACGAGCTATTAATTGTGCTTTAGGTGATCTTGTTCATTCGTATGTCATAGTTTACATGGACGACGTTATGGTAGTAGCAGGTACCAAAGACGAAGCTTTAGAAAGACTTGATATAGTCTTACAAACCCTAACTAAAGCCGGATTTTCCTTTAATATCACCAAATGCTCATTTCTAAAATCGTGTGTTGAATATTTGGGGTTTGAAGTTAAGGCAGGTGAAATAAGACCCAATCCAAGGAAAATAAAAGCATTGACTGATCTGCCGCCCCCACAGTCTGTGACCCAGCTGAGACAGTTCATTGGTCTTGTTTCTTATTTTAGACAATTTGTCCCTCAGTTCTCACAATTGTTGAAACCTCTGTATGCATTAACTTCCAAAAGCATATCGTTTGAGTGGAACCCGGAGCATGAGCAAGTGCGACAAAGAGTAATTTCTATCTTGACCAATGAACCCGTACTCACTATATTCGACCCACTTTTTCCGATTGAGCTTCACACCGACGCCAGTGCTGATGGTTACGGGGCCATTTTATTGCATAGGATCGAGAACAAGCCTCGAGTGATCGAGTATTTCAGCAAACGGACTTCCCCCGCCGAATCACGCTACCACTCATACGAGTTGGAAACGCTCGCAGTATATGTCTCCATGAAGTATTTCCGTCATTACTTGCATGGTCGTCAATTTACGGTATTTACGGATTGTAATTCGCTCAAAGCTTCCAAAACGAAAGCTGAGTTAACTCCTAGAGTGCAAAGGTGGTGGTCGTATATGCAGGTTTTTAAGTTCGATATTGAGTATAGACCAGGTGATCGAATGGCTCATGTAGACTTTCTCTCTCGAAACCCAGTGTTGGAAGATCGTAAAAATTTAAAAAGTATAACCGAAAAGCGTATAAACTTGACAGAGATTACCGACAATTGGTTGCTGGCAGAGCAGCAGAGAGATGACGAAACATCATCCATCGTGTCCAAGTTGCGCAATGGAGAACTTCCTGAAGATATAGCAAAAACCTTTGAGTTACGTGGTGGTACTCTATATAGGAAAATTCAAAGACATGGGAAAACTCACTGTCTTCCTATTATTCCAAAGCCCTTTAGGTGGTCTGCTGTTAACAACGTGCACGAGG